AAAACAAAACTTACAGAAAAATGCACATACTGAATAGTTTTTTTATAAGCTTTTATTAACTCTCGTATTTCGCAACTTTCAAACAAAATGTTCACTTATCCCCTCAAATATATGTAAATATTCTTTCCTGTGCACCTGTAAATGATATAAACCCTGTCTCCATATCTTTCTCACTCCCCATATGCGGCGCAAATGGCATGTCTCTGTTGTGCTATTAACATGCTGTTAATTTGATTGAAAAATGCTTTATGGCCAATAGCCGCAGTTGGAGGCGCAGTTGTAACTTGGCCTTTGTTTTTGTTGGCCATTTTGTACGTTTTTGGTTGAGTGAAAGTGAAAATTACGAAAATTATATAGAAACCAATGTTACCGCAGCAGCAGCACCAACAGCCGCCAAAGAAAATTGGATGGAAATGATTGGGCCACAAGGAGAGACAAGCAGGAGCAGCAAAGCAGCAAACAAAACTAGCAAACAAACAACAAAAGCCAGCTGTTTGATGGTTGCACGTGCAACGGCTGCAACGACTATGGCAACTTCAAGTGGCAAGCAACTGTGGCAAGTTCAAATCGCATCAGAAGGTGCACCACATTCCTTGGCCAACATTTCTATTTGTTTTTTCCGTTGCCAAACTAGACAAGTTCTACTACTACTTCTACTTGTTGGCGCAACAACTAGTTTCTGCATTTGTTGTGGTTCTCAGTTTCCTTCTTTCGTCGTGGCTGGAGCAGCGCACACATCATTTGCAAGCCAAACGAGGAACCTGGCTAACTAACGTTGTCCCAATTTCGAGAATCCACTGTAATTGGGGACACCTGCATGCGCCAAAAATCGAGTTTTTGCAAATGTTTCGAGTTCAAGGGGAAAACCCGTTCGCAAGGCAAAAGAGATTTGCCAAAAGAAAATGCGACAAGTCCAGTCCATTCTTCCGATCATAAGTCACCCGAAAAAAACCTTTTCCCGTTTTATCCGTTACTTAGCTGTTCTGCGAAATATTTCTATTAAGTAACATATTGAAACATTAAATGAAGAAACGTTGATGAAACCCCGAATAACTTAATAATTACAACGTTATTTAAATTCATTTCATGCTCCATTAAAGCCACTTTCTAAGCAACAAAGGACTGCTTGATTTCCCCCCTTTTTTTAAATAGATTTTCCTTTTGTGCTTATCCTTTCACCTGCTCCAAGTTCCTGGCCCATAAACAAGGCCACAGCAATCCAATCAGGCGACCACCTCGAGCCCCCACAAACTCATATCGATCCGGCGAGGAAAGAAGCACCAGCAGCAGCAGCAGCTGTGGCACAAAGTCAGCGCAATAATTTGCGCAATTGAACTCATCAATTGCAGCAATTAAATGTGCCCACGGTGTTAGGAAATGGCGGGGGGTGTGAGGAGGAGATCGGGGCTGGTCCGGGACATGGTTATACAGGCAATAACGAGCTATGAATTAAGTTAGTCAAATGCAGAGAGGGGCAGCCAGTGAATGTGATATAACCACGGCAGGCGGCAGACACAACACAACAAAAACAAGGGGCAGGCAGCGAGTTAATTAAATGATTTCCAATGCTTTTCCACCGACGACGACCCCTCGCGGAACACTCACTTTCTTTGGCCTCTAGGGGAAAATCGGAAAAACTAATGGAAATAAAATGTCCGATTGAACGCTTGACTAGCACTCACTGACTATATAAATGTATATATATTTTGCAACATTTAATTGCTCAATTTATGTAAGCAAGCAAAGCAGCTCCGAGGGTCGAATTGATAACAAAAACATCATCATCATCAGTACAGAGCACAACAACTTGCTATGTTACTATATAGCCATGAAAAATAAACGAATTAATCTGTAGAGCTCTGGGTGAGAAAGGGAAAATTTCTCAGTTTCTTAAGGAGCAAATCGGTTACGTCAGAAAGTCAGTAAACTCAAGACTAAGTCGCATCACCGTTTAAATCAAATAAAACTTTTTTGCGCAGCTAAAAATTTACATAAACAAATCACGAAATCACTAGTCGCAGTATGATAGCTTATCAGCAGCCTCCATCGAGCAGACTTAATAGATACAAATTGAATTTAATGAAATGCATCCCCACCATCTTCAGGGTTGAGAGAGGAAAACTCGTGCAAAACAGAAATGTGCGGAAACAAAGCACGAAGACTCGAAAGGAAAATGTGAAAAATTGTAGAAACAAGACGAAGACTGAGTGGCAATTTAATTAAAGGAATTCACGCAGTATCTACATCTTCTCAGAGATTGCACTCAACGGCATTTCTATTCTGAAAATATATAGGGGAAAGTCAGTCGGACGGAAAATAGGGTATATAAATATATTATGTGTGTACATCTCATTCCAAAGAAGAAATCACTCTATAAGTCTTATCTGACAGTGGAAATTCGATGTACTTAACTCATCCCAGGAATTTCAAAGAATTACTTAGTATATTGATTACTTATTTTGAAAATATATTTTTAGGATTATTTTTGCGTTACATTTAAAGTAAGCCCATTTTTATGACCATTTCTTTATTCTATTTCTATTATTCCTGCTTATAGTACCTTATATCACAAATATATTCCCATTGTTTATAGCTCAATTCAGAGTAATTGTATTCAATTTTAATAAGTATAATACTAAAGAGACTACAGAGAGGATTTCAGAGTGAAAATTAACCCTTAATTTGTTTACTTGGGGCATTGTCAAGTTGGTGGAATTATCTTTCAGTTGCAGTGACTCTACTGACTGCAGTCTGAGCCAAGAGGTAAACAACAGCCCGACCAGAAGCCCGGATCCCTTTGCTTCGCAACCACCTACCATTCCATACCATTCCATCCTGTGGCCCTGTGTGGCCCTTTGTTTGTTCTGACAGGCTGTCAGTGGCCAAGATGTGGCCACACAATAATGCCAGAGATGTGGCCAAGCGAGAGCGGAGGGCCAGAAGCAGGGACACGTGACACTTGATGGGCCCAAACCGCCATACCAAGCCAGCCAAGCCAACAACTGTTTGCCTAACATTCCGCATGCTTGGCAAGTGTGTTTGTCCAGGCCTCTTGCTTATTGCAAATTTGTTAAACAAATCAACAAATGCTTGAAACCAAACTCAAAAGACTCAAGGTGAAAATAAGCAAGATGTCCCAAATGCGGCTATTTATCTTATAATTAAAGAAAGCCTATTAAGACTGTATATGTTTCAGTTACTCCAGGAGTTTTTCTTCAAATTCTTCTAGCCATGAATTTTTCTTGCCATTTTCCGTGCCAACTGGCTGACCCTGTTCTGCCAAGCAGCTTTTAGAACAACGCCAAGATGGCTCAGATTGAAACCGAAACCGGTTTCAGTCCAAAACGAAAGAAGCCAGCCAACCTGCGGTCTCGTCTCCAACTTCAGGTGCACCACCGCACCGTAAATGGCAAAAGTATGTAAGTAGGAGCTGGCAGGCCGGTAATGCTCCTCCTTCAGGAATCTGGTTTTCTGGCCAGGCACCACCGATTTCCTATATATACAAATACTCGTATAGATTTCTTACTTTCAAAATCCATGCACAACGGATTTACCATTGAAAATCGCTCGGGGGTTTCGTGAATGGTTCATCGGGTGAACTTAATAGGTCAGTTAGCAGAGCACTGAATGATTTTCTCAGATTCTTTTAACTTGAGTTGAGTCATAATCAAATTACGACGGTCATTCACTACGTGATGGATGCTGCTCGGTTGTGTTCCCGATAAAAGAACAGCAAAAACAGAAGCTGCTTATAGAGCTAATAAATAGCGATAAGCGGGTGCAGCGATAAGGAGGCGGCGGCGTCGGCAAAACTGCAGTTTCTGCATCGACCAAAACAACTTGACAGCGGGTCTATTTATAGCCAGCACAGTTAAATACCCTGTAATCACAACTGATTGCCGGGCACCCGAACTAATTGCAGTCTAGGCAATAATGGCTCTACACAGACAAAAAGACAAGTGACCAATAACGAATTATCATAAAAATTTTTCGTTTGGAATATTTACATATTTTAGTACTACAAAAATAAGATCCCTATATTCTTAAGCTTAATTCAGAGCGATATAGATATACTTTACTTTTAGCAAATATTTTAAAAATCCTAAGAAACAATTATAAATATTTTTTTAGTCCTGAATACAGCTTAAAAATTCTCCTGTTTTTCAAGTGCACATATAATTGACCTATAAGGTATTAATAAGACCGTACAGATTTCAACGGTTGGGGGGTCTATTTTTAGGCATCGGGTCACGCACTTATGCCAATTGCCACTTGGCAAACGACGGAATGTGAATTTGAATGTGGAACGCGATTTGTGCACGCCAACTAACGAAAGTGATGTCATTTGCAGAGCCATTTGTTGCCGCTTTCATTGGCACGGCAGGCTATTAATTCTGTCCACTGGGGGCCAAGTCAAGAGAGCTTCGGGGATGACCCACAAGTGGCTTCCGTCGTCAGCTAAAACGGAAACTCCCCGTACGCAACAGGTGCGTCATAAAGGACGACCCAGGAAATGGCTCTGAGCGGGCATGAGTCTTATTTTTTTCTATATGGGCTATCTTAGCTACAGTTGTTCTTTGAAAGAACTTGTAGCGAGGGAATATCACATTTAAAGGAACATTTATGGGATCTTTAAAGAACATACACAAAGCGTATAGGCATAATAAAGCAGTTCTTTGAATATGTTTAAAAGATATTAAAAATTGTAAGAACAAATGATCAATATTTAAGAATGATTTTTAAAAAAATGTATATATAAATAAAATAACAGATAATTTAACTAATTGTCAGAATTCTTTTACAAGAATATCCAAAACTAACAAAGTTCGTCTGTATTAACCGTTGGAATGTTCCATTTCCCACAGCTGACAGAGCGAGACGGGGTAAGAAGTGGTGCAAGGGAGAGGGAGCTACTAGGCTGATATGGAAAATATTAAGCAACTGATTTGACCGGTAGACGCACGCAAACATACACACACACACACACTAACGAGACTCACCTGATAATACGAATCCGACATGGTTTATGTAGTTCAGCCTGTTGAATCACTCGATGCCCTCGCTGGTCGTTGTTGTTTTTGCTGGTTTTTGTTATTATTATTATTACTCTTGTTGTTTGTGTCTTTTAGCCGTCAGTTATGGACGATTTTTGGCTTTTGATTGGCGCCGCACACACACACAGACATAGGTGCAGTTGTATGTATAAATACACGCGGCGCGTTCGCTTTTTTGTTTACTTTTCTTTGCGTTTTTGGAACTGGAATTGTTTAACACCTCAACACCTGATGCCGAACAGTATTTTCCTTTATCTCTTTTATCGAATGCGCGCTCTCATTTGATTTCCTGCGGTCGAGAAACAACAAAAATGAATAGAATTCAGTTGTTTTGGGCAGGGCAACATGCACACACATACACAACAGCACACCAACAAGTGGCAGCGCCGCAAAAGGTGAGAGAGAAGGAGTGACAGAGACGGAGAGCGTCATTTACAATTGTTGCTTTTTTTTATTGTATTCAAGGGGAACAAAGAGATGGGGCTGATTCTTCTGCTTCTTCTTGCCGCGCTTCCTCTTCTTCCCCTTCTTTCATTCCCGGTTCGCCCTCTTATTGTTGCTTGCTAAATATTATGCATATTCCAGAGACAATGGCGCCTCCTCCCCTCCCATTGAAATTGGCTCCAATTGAACGTGCTCCTTCTTCTCTTTCGCCTTCCTCTTCCTCTGGGGTTCCGCTCTTGCAATTCGTTGTATAAATAAGCTAGTCGCAAGTGCGAGGGGGAGGGGTGATGTGCAAGTGGCGGCAAAAAAGAGCAGCTCGCGCAGAGCCAAATGCGAAAAAGGAGGGGGAAAGAGAGACGAAATACCGGTTGCCGCAGCGTGTAAATGGCCACATCCGCATTTATATGCACCTTGAAATAATCGCACGGCCAAGATTGTTTAAACAAAATGTTCAGCCAGCGCACAAAAAAAACACACACTCGCACGCACACGCACGCTCACAGGGATTTATCTACTTGGACGGCATCTTCTTCATCTTTTTTTATCTTCTTTGAACAAATCTCATGTTATCTCGCTCGCACACACACACTGTCACAACACGCTCGGTCCAGATCGAAAAATTCTTGCACTGCTGCTGCGTTGTCTTCTCTCTTTTCTCTCGGTGTCCAGGTGTCTGTTGATGTTGCAAATTAGTTAGTTACCACGCACTGGGGGTTTCAAAATCAAAACGTCGGTGCGGACGCCTGCATGCACAGAATAAACACGGCTTTGTTTTTATTCGTACTTTTGTGACGATTAAAAACGAAAAATACTAACTTGGGAACGGTGTGGCCAACTGTTTTTGACGGAGAAACGGTCAGTTTAGCTTAAGAGCAGTGTGGCCAGACTAGCGGCTATGAAAATGTTATCGATTTAGACTCCAGCGAAGACTCGAACCATCTCTCTTTTAATTTCTCATAACCAGTGTGACCAAAAAAATGAAGGAAAAGCCATGAAACGCCATGAAAATGTACCTTTTATGGCGTTTAAGGTTTTTCTAAGAAAAATTTTCTTTGGTCACACTGGACAGCTGTTTGTAAACAAATTTGTTAAGGGGGGGGGTAAGGTTAATTCGGTGCAAAAAAGGCCACTTTTCAAAAAATTATTGTGGCGGAACGGCTAAAGTTAGCTTAATGAATTAAATACCATATAATAACACAACATTTGAATAATTTTTGTAAAATTTTGTATTGAAAAATATTTCGAAGTAGAGAAGTTATAGGGAATCTCCAGAGTCGCCTCCAAAAAAAGTTGTTTTGCGGTGTACATCCTAACAGTCCACAGGATCATCCGATTTAAAAAAAATTATACCTCATTCGTTAAAGGATAAGTGTCCCGAGGTATTCACGAAGCGTTTTTTTTTTTTTTTTTAGTTTTATTGTGATTTTTTAGGAAATTTGAAAGTCAAAAACCCGATTTTTGACTAAAAAAAAAAGTTATTTCTTAATTTAAAAATATATACAAATTAAAAATTAAAAAAAGGCCGACGTGAATACCTGAGGAATTAGTTAAAAAATGTGTGTGCCAAATTTCAAATCGATCGGTCCAGTAGTTTTTCTGTAATCGTGTACACCGATTTGAAAAATTGAATTTTTCAGGAGAGCGCTTTAAACTTTGTGATTCCCATGCATTGAACACCAACCGACCTTCGTTCAACTCCGCATAACTTCGTCAATTTCACTCTGATCGATGTTGGACACAATATTCTTAAGATGTTAAACTTTAAAAACAAAAAATAAAAAAAAATTTACGAAAAAAAAAATTAAGGTATTTAATCCTTTAATCAATAGCATTAAAATGTCCTTTGTGTTAAATCCCACTTTATGGACTTCGCCTTGACAGCCCTGGTCAATGCCACTTTTTTCTTTCAACTTTCCCTCCAATAGGATTTTCGTCGTCACAGTACTAGGCTTTATATTTTATTATTTAATTAATTGTTAATTGTTGTTATTTGTATAATTTCCTTCAAGACTAAACGGCTGGCTTTTTGGGCAGGGAGCCGAACGCAGAGATGACGGTTCCCTTAGTGCCCGTGACTGTCGTGGTCAGGGCCGGCAGCGTGGGCTTCACCACGGTTGAAGACGAAGCCGGCTGATCCCATTTCGCCGCTACCTCACCGACGCTAATTTACCGACGCTCAATTTTAAGATTTTGAAATTGTAGAAAATAATTATTAATTTATTTACAACTTCCGCTCAATTACTTAGATGTATGGATATTATTTTAATGTCATCGTAGGGCTTGTCCGTCTTGGGATTTGCCTTTGAATTGCATATGTTGAGAACCACCTCCATGCCACGAAACACGCGTCCGAAAACCGTGTGCTTATTGTCAAGCCAAGGCTGGAAATGATTAATTTTAACTTGTATTCCTTTTTAAAATTATAAACAACTCACCGTGGGCAGAACTGTTATAAAGAACTGACTGCCATTGGTGTTGGGACCCGCATTCGCCATGCTAACCGTGTAGGGACGATCATGCTTCAAACTCGGCACGAATTCGTCCTTGAAATCATGTCCCCAAATGGATTTTCCGCCAGTGCCAGTGCCCGTAGGATCGCCCGTTTGCACCATAAAGCCCTTGATCACTCGATGGAATATGTGACCATTATAGTAGCTAGAGAAATTTCATGATTAAAATTAGTAGTCGAAATGTTTAACTGAAAGTCTTACCCATTCTTGGCATGAACACAAAAGTTTTCCACGGTTTTTGGCACCTCCTTGAAGAACAGTTTCATATGAACATCACCTTTGGTGGTGTGCAAGACCACATTTTCATAAATACGTTGAACAACTAAAATGATTTAAGCAATTTACATTAAATATACGAACAATCTTAAAACGTAAGACACTGAACCTTCGTCTTGAAAGTGTTGGCGTGGCAGGAAAAAGTGGTTAGTAGCAGGTTAGTAATGGTTAAGAACAAAAATAAGTGAATTTCCAATTACCTGTGGCCTCTGGAACAGCGATAATATCCTCTTTGGAAGGCTTCTCGTTGAATATATCACGATCGACATCCTGCAGGTCCGAGGGCAATCTTCGGCTGAACAAGTAGAAGCGATTTTTCCTAATTTTTAAACAATTCAAATTATTAAATTGAAGTTTAAACAGAATAATTACTCAAACCTACTTGTAGGCCGTGCAAAATGCCGTGGGATCGTTTAAAATATTCTGTAGGGCCGGATTCTCGCTCGCCTCCTGTTCGAGCGTTATGGCTGCCTTTTGCCTTTTGATTCTTCCCTGGAAAAGTGCCACCTGCAGTGGTCGTATGTTGTCCGTTTTCCCCAATATAGTGACGCAGCGATTCGTTACCACATTGATCACCTTGATGCCCAGCATGGTGGGATAGAGTATAAAGTGGCCAGTGCTATCAAACAGTATATTGAGGGTTGTGTTTTGAGCGGTCTTTTCCAGATCCCTTTCAGCTGCCATTCTACCAAAGGAATCTCATAAATATACATTCAATTAAAAACTACAAGCTTTAATACCTTCGGCCAAACTCCATGTTGGGCAGGGCGTGCTGGGTCTGCTGCATTTGCGTGTATGTGGAGAGCGCCTCATCAAATACCCGGATCATTTTGCCCGTATTGAACTGAAAGACTCGAACTTTGCGATCTGTGGAAATGGCAGCAAAGCGCTTTCCATCTGGCGAGGCTGCAAGACCCGTGACCTGGGTCTTTTGCTTGGCAAATTCAAACAGACCTGGAAAAAAGGAAATTAAATTCGAGTAAAGGTAAAGTAATACTGAAAAGGAACCTTACTCGTGTCTAATTTAGAGTCAAAGTTCACCAGTCGCTGGGGAAACTTGTAATCGTGCTTGGAGTTTTGCCAATACTCCAAGATGCCGTTGCGATCCACTGAGATTACAGTATCCATGGCCACATTCAAGCACATGGCCAGCACTGGCGCCGAGTGGAGTTTCTCCAGTGTATGTAGCACCTCGCCGCCTCCTTGTCCGTCGTAAATGTGAATGCAGCTGGACTCTGAATCCGCTCTAGAAAGGGATGATGCATCAAATTTAGGTTGTAACCAATTTTCGGCCTACTTACATGGCCAATGCTTGGACAGCATCTCCTGGACCACTTATCCACTCACTGCACTGTGGTGTGTAGCCCAACCGTATAATGTTGATCATGTCAAAGTTGACCACATCGAAGACCTTGGCTGTTTGATCTGTGGACGCCGAGCAGAGCAGCGTGCCGCTGTCATTGGTGGTCAGCGATTTGATGGGCACTAAATATGACATTATTAATGATTGGTTAGCAAAAGGTAAAGCTAGCACCCACCTAGATGGCTGCGAAAGTGCTTGACAAACTCGATGCCCAGCTCGCCCTTCTTCCAGAACTTGATGTGTCCATCCAGACTGGCGGTCACCACGAATTCCGTTCGTGTGCACACCAAATGCGTGATGACATCGCGATGCATGTAGCTCCGCTCGTAGCTCTCGGCGTTGGGCAGGTTCTCCAGGAAGATGTGCTCGTAGGGCAGCACTGTAATTGTTTAGGGGTTAATATAATGCGTAAATATGCTTATTTGCTGACTTTTACCCTTTTTCTTCTTGGCCGGCACAGGGGCGCTTTGCTCCGAAGGCATTGGTCCTATCCAGGCATCATCTTCGCCCTCTCCCTCGGCGTCTGCCGGTGCTCCCGCCTCAGGTTCCTCCTCCTCTGCTGGCGCACTGCGCTTAAGATCCTCCTTGTCGCCTTTTTCACTCATTTCGTGTGGAATAACAAACAATAAACACACGGAATGTGAGATTTTTACCGCCGTTTGCGGACCAGGGCTGCAAAACCGCTATAATCAGCTGTGCATGGAGTGTGAAAATATCGATAATACTATTATGATACTAGCGCATTAATTATAGCCGTATGACACTGGCGCAGTATAATTACTTCATTAAAGATTTGACAGCGCTATAGCGTTTTACACAAGTGCGAGCAAGACAACTATATTCCACTTTAATGCATCATTGTAGCGAAAATCGATTGATGTAAATAGAATATACTGTATTAGCCATTTCTTTAGAGGGCGAAACTCAAAGTAATATTAAATAAATAACAAATTAATGATTTTATTAAAAAGCTTTTAAAAATAAGATAAGGTTTACGTATTTAATTTTTTTAAGTTTTGTTTTTTGAGTTTAGATTTATTAGTAATTTTTAATTAAAGATTAAATAATTTAAAATTAATAATGTGGATATTATCGTAATGGTGGAAAATAGATAGTTTCGATGTCTATATGTTTCGATATTATAGGTTTCGATAACCCGAGCTGTCAAAAACATGCACAAATGAAGTCCTTTGAAAATTTTTCACAATAGGAAAGTGGAAAGAATTACGGAAGACCAAACGCCATTAAACTAAAAAAAAGAAAATATAAAGAAACCCTTAAAAGCCAGAACTTCACCCTTCGCTAATATACGCCTATATTTTCAAGTGTGGCTTATTAACAACTATTGAAAGGTAATTTGCGAAAATAGTATTCATGACGCCAGTGCAAAAAAAGAATCTACAATTTTCTAACATAAGAATATATCTTATTACCGTGACAACTCAGAAAACGACCGAAATACTCCTCCAATTTCAAATCTGAGAGCGTTTCCCGCCAGGGCTGCATCTGCGCCCGCGGTCAGCTGTTCCATGGCCAGTGGTGAATGGCGATTCTCAGGTGAATGGTTGCAATATTCACACAAATTGCAAACACAACAAGGAGATTTAAACAAATTAATTGTATATAAAAGTACAAGCGCAGCGATGCAGAACATATCGGATGAGGAGGGCGTCGCGCCCAGCCGAACGGCGGGGGGCGTGGCCGCCGCAGCAGCAGCGGATGGCGATGACGGCGGAGGAAACGTAGGTGGCGGCGGTAGCGGCGGCGGTGGCGGTGGCGGCGGCATCATTGTTTTGAGAGCAGCGCTGGGAGAGACTGAGACGAGAGCGGTAATCAATAAATGGCGGGTACGCGAGGGACAGTTCGTGTCGGCCGCGCAAATTCTGTTTCTCTACCAGCCAGTGGGCGAGGACGGAAAGCCCGGGAAATCGGGCGACTCGGCGGTCCAGAAGTACAAGTCCCAGCGCGCCGGGGTGGTGAAGAAGCGCCTCCGCAAGGATGGGGAGCTGCTGTCAAAGGGGTGAGTTTTTCTGTGGTCTTTGGGTGCCGCTGGGATGTGCGTGGGAGCATGGGTGTTGAATGCAATTATGCAGCCGTATACACACGAACTGAGCCTACCTTCCCTTCCCGCCTTTTAGGGATGCCATTCTGGAGTTGTCGGAGTGCATACACACCACGGTAATCAAGGACATGTGCGCGGACTGCGGTGCCGACTTGCGTCAGAACGAGAATGTGAGTAAATACACGGCATATCTACCACCACCGGCTGGCTGTTGTTCGTCAACCAGTGCATACCTACCATTTCTGTTGCAGGGCCAAACGTCGGAGGCGTCGGTGCCCATGGTGCATACAATGCCCGATCTGAAGGTCACCCAAAAGCTGGCCCAGAAGCTCGGCCATGACGATACCCGGCGCTTGCTGGCCGATCGGAAGCTGGTGCTGCTGGTCGATCTCGATCAGACGGTGATCCACACCACCAATGACACGGTGCCGAACAACATCAAGGGCATCTACCACTTTCAGCTGTACGGACCCCAATCGCCGTGGTATCACACGCGCCTGCGCCCAGGCACGTCCGAGTTCCTGGAGCGCATGTCCCAGCTGTATGAGCTGCACATCTGCACTTTCGGAGCGCGCAACTACGCACACATGATAGCCCAGCTCCTGGACCCGGAGGGCAAGTTCTTCTCGCACCGGATCCTGTCCAGGGATGAGTGTTTCAATGCCACCAGCAAGACGGATAACCTAAAGTAAGGACTTGTCCTCTTCTTTTACATTTCTTTAACCAGAAAAACTCCTTGAATTTTAGAGCTCTATTTCCCAACGGGGATTCCATGGTGTGCATCATTGACGACCGGGAGGATGTGTGGAATATGGCCTCCAATTTGATTCAAGTGAAACCCTACCACTTCTTTCAGCACACGGGCGATATTAATGCCCCGCCGGGCTTGTCCAAGCACGAGTTGGACGGCGAAGGCGTTGACTTCAAAGGTGGGTTAGCTATTCCACCAATTTCCATATCTCTACAACTTTCAAAGTTCTTGCAGAGATTACCGAGAAGAAGGAAGACAAAGACAAAGTCGAGTCCAGCAGTGAAGCAAAGCCCGAAGACACAGAAAAGGGTGATAATACGGTCTCAAGCACAAGCAAAGACGATGAGGGAGGAGACAATGAGGAGTCAGTGGATACATTTGAACTAGAGGGCGGCGAAGCCAAGGACCCCGAAGTTTCAAATTCCTCAAACACCACAGAGACACCCAAGGAGCCGAGTGACAAGCTGAATGGCAAGACTTCCTCCAAGGAGGAGATAGCGGTCATAGAAGACAGCTCTCCGGGCTCACCGGATGCGGAAAAGCCGGCCAGCGAGGGCGAAGACGTAGTCGTTATTGACGAAAATTCCAAGGATAGCACAAAGGCCGACGTCACGGCAATGGAAGTCACGCCGCCCGAAGAAACAGAGGTGGCTGTGGCATCTTCCACCAGTTCGACTGAGGAAAACAGCCCAAAGGCTAAAGCAGAAGATCTAGCCTCCACGTCAAAAAGCACGCCACCAAACGAGGGGCAAAAGCAAATCGAAATCGAGGATCCTGACGACTACCTGCTCTACTTGGAGGTCATACTGCGCAACATTCACAAAAGATTCTATGCCATCTACGACGAGACCACAGAAATTCCCGATCTCAAGATCATCGTTCCCAAGATCCGATGTGAGGTGTTGCGCGGCCAGAACCTGGTGTTCTCCGGGCTGGTGCCCACGCAGATGAAGATGGAACAGTCTCGGGCCTACTTCATTGCCAAGAGTCTGGGGGCCGAGGTACAGCCAAACATCGGCAAGGGAATCACGCATCTGGTGGCGGTAAATGCCGGCACCTACAAGGTGAACGCGGCCAAGAAGGAGGCCAACATCAAGGTAGTCAATGCCAATTGGTTGTGGACCTGCGCCGAGCGCTGGGAGCACGTGGAGGAGAAGCTCTTTCCGCTGGACCGCAAGGTGCGCAACAAGGGCCGCCAGCCACCCGCCCACTGTCACAGTCCCGAGCACGTGGTGAACTACAGCGAGCGGTCCGAGATCTCTCCCTCGAGCAGCAAGCAGCAGGAGGAGCAGAGCGGAAACTTCCGCGAGACCCTCAACCCGCTGCTGGTCTTCACCAATGCGGACATTGAGTCTATGAACAAGGACTACGAGACATTCTTCGAATCAGACTCGTCCAGCGACGAGGGGCCAGTCAACTTTGGTAAGCATGTGGAAAAGTGCTGACAATGCTAATTACATTCATGCTCGTGCACATTCTTTCGATGCTAATTAATACTTACTGATGTGCCTTCTAGAAAATCCACCCATGGACAAGAAGCTGTTGAAGCGAAAGCGAGAAGATGACAATTCCAACAGGGCCCACGACTTCTTTACGCGTGCGGAGGATGTAATGATTGGGGCGCCGAACATCATAGACTTTGACAAGAGCTCAAACGAGGAGGGAGATGACAATAACGAGGAGGAGGAGGAAGAGGATGACGACGACGAGATGCCCAGCGCCAAGTTTCGACGAGGTATAAATTTCCAAAAAGCTGGCTTAAGCCACAAATTGAAAAAAAATTTGTTTTTCCAGGGGAAGATGTACCGTCCGACTTGGAGTTTGGCTCCGATTCGAATAGCGACAACAACCCAGAGGATGAGGACGACGGCGAATGGAACATGATGGGCGCTGCCCTGGAGAGGGAGTTCCTCGGCCTGGAAGATTAACTTCTTTGCGAACTCCGAGTACGCTTACGCTTAAGAACAGTACTGTGTGTATTAGGTGTTAATATGTACTTTTAAAGTAGCCTGTAAGAAGAGATCGCACACCCAATCGCAGCGAGTCCCCCGGAGCCAAGACCTCTCTCAATCTGATCTGATGTAAATTGAAGCCTACTGTAAATGTTTTACAAATAAATTCCGTCACAGCGGACTAGCGTCTAGTGTTTAATTTAAAATTTAACAACCAATGTACACCACACCAGTAGTAGTTGTTTATTGTTTATTGTTTGCGTTGTGTTTGTAATACAAATTCACATTAAACTTGAACAGATATACCAGTAATTCCCAGCTGAAGTTTCACTCTTCGCTAAGTCTTGCTGAGCGCCGCTCGCTGCTCCTTGAAGCGGCTGACCCGCTTCTTGGGCGTGTGCGCGTCAATGAACTTGCCCTTGGGCAGGGGCTCCGGGGCCGTGGGCTCCTCCTTCTCGACCAGATCGTGCATGACCTTTTGATAGGCGCTCATGTCCCGCAGGTCGTCGTCCAAGGTGCGCTCCTTCTTTCGCTGCTTTCGGCCCTTCTTGCCCTTTTTTGCCTGCTGGTTGAAGTTGACACGAGGCTCCATTTCCACAGCTGATTTATTTCGGAGTATGGACTTGGTGGTGGACTCGGAGTCGGTGGATTCACCTCCCTGTGAAGCAATTGGCTTAGAGAACTGGAAATAGAAAAGGGAATTTATATATTCTTTATCATTGATTTAAGTGCGACGATCTTACCTCACTTCTTGGATCCTCGTAGGCTGACCCGCGGGCAGCCTCGCTCATTATGGGCACTTTAACCTCTTCCTCGCCCTCGAAGCCGTTTACATAAATGGGAAACGACGATTGATTCACTTGGGCCAAATCCTTTTCGTATTTCTTATAGAAATCCGCGGGGTTTCCAGGTGTGTCGGCACCACCCTCCTCCTGATCATCACTTTTGTGTGTAGAAGGCAGTGCATCGGAATGTTTGAAACTAATGTGTAAAGTGTTAATCCTTCCGGTTGATGCCTCCAGAATCTGATTGAGCAAATCAAAGTCCTGTACACTCTGATTCTCCTTGACAAACTCGATATTTCTTTGCACCTTTTGCAGGATATCTTCATTAGTTGATTTTGATGGATTTGGCTTCTTTTCGGAGGCGGGTTGGGTAGTCAAGGGCTCATCTAGCTTTATGACATCCCTGGAGTTTTTCCTGGCATTGGGCAGCATTTCAGCTACGGTATCCTCGCGCCGGAACTCCAGCTTTTCATCCGAAAGGGCAAAAGATATGCGACGGGTCTTGGTGCCATTTTCAGGTACTATTTCAGACACAGCTTTAATTTCTGCTTTCGGAAGCTCGTTAGCCACAGTTTCCTCGCTGTCTTCAGGTACTTTATGAGTCTCTTCAACCGTTTCGTCTGGTTCCCCATCTTCCCCGCTGTCCTCCAGTTCCTGCTCGAATATCATGTCCTGAAGATCGTCCTCCAGCACCACCACAACATTCATCAAGTGAATCAGTTCGTCGCTGATAAAGTTGGCCTTTTGTATCCTGCGCATCTTGGCCTTTAGGATATTAAGTTGGTCTCTGAGAAACGCTTGCCGCTCTTCGCTGGGCAGCAGAGAGATTTGCTCTCTTATAGTCTTTACCTCCTCCACTTGGGTCACTTCTTCATCATCATCTTCATTATCATCTTCCCCTTCTGTGGTTTGTTTTTCACCACCAACGCGTTTTTTTGGCAATGGTGTGTCCATTTCACCGGACATTAGTTGACGAACTAGATTATCTGTGCTTTTCAGGCTCTCTTCTGCTTCGGAACTGAGTTCTTCAGTTTCGTTTTGCTCTTGGGCTTCCAGCTTCTCCCAGAGCTGCGATTCCTGATCATCGGTTAGGGTTTGGGGGATGGGCTTCTCTGTGGGTCTCGTGGGTTCTTTCTCCCCGTTCAGCAGGTCTTCGAGCATATCTTCGTTAATATCGTCGGGGTCCAGACCCAGTTCCTCCATCATCTCGCGCTCTTCCAGCTTCTTGAGCACTTCGTTGTCCCCTTTCTGGGGTTCCGCCTGACGTTTCAGGCGCTCCTCTTGCTTCTGTTGACGCACCCGCTCTTTATGCTCCGCCATCCACTTGTTATGTGACTCCTCGTTGAAATCTTCCACAATCTCCACCTGATCGCCACTGGGAACAGCACCCTCCTCGAGCGGGGTCTTGAGTTTGTTTCTGTTAAAACAAACGTAAACATTATACTCTTTCCATTGTTTGTGAACGAATAAACAACTCACTGCCAGAGATCAGCTTCGGTTTCCAGCTGTTTCAGGCTTTCCTCGGCGAGTTTTATGCGATGGCGACATATTTCCTTGGCCTTGTGGGCGGAGCAGGCCGAGAAGTAGCCCTCGTAGTGGCCCACCAGCAGCTCGTTGGTGTGGATCAGCTCGCCGGGCATTAGTGCCTTCTTGCCGATGGGAACCATGATGTCCACGCTCAGTTTCTGGGAGAACAAGTCCAGGTTTCGGATGGTGCTTTCGTTGTCACTCTTGAAGGCCTGCCAGCGCTCTGTATGGTAGGCATTTTTGTCGATCGCCTGTCCCAATGGTTTTTGTCTAATGTTAATATTTAAATGTATTTAAAAACAATAATAATTACCTGCCGCAGAATATCCTCACGCTGCCGGTTCATTGTTATTGTTTGGCATAGAGCTGGCAAAAGATTGATGAAAAGCTAGGTGCTATCGATAGCCTAAGATATCGATATAGTTGTTTCGCATCACTAATAAATGGTTAATATTTAAAATTTAAAATTTAAGATTTAAAACCTTTATAAACAAAGAAGTTTTAAATTTTAAAAGTGTTAAATTCAGTAGGCGGATTTATTAACTTAATAGCAACTAACACAGAAACTTTTTCCGAATTAATACCTTGATTGCGCGCTAAAATAGATATATAAAATTAAAAAGATCAATAGGTTTTTTATATTTTATGTTAATTTTAAGTAATTTATATTCTGGGTATTCCCTTGGCAACTGAATCACCAAAACTATCGACGATGTACTGCGATAGTTAGTCGTTATTTTCAACTGAAAACGGTTGTTTCCATACAAACTACTGAAAATATCAGCTATCTCGAAATATCACCGATATTTTCAGACAACAATCACAATAAATATCCGACATTTTCAGCTAACTATCGCGATATATCGCCGATATTTTCAGTAATTCTGTCATCAAGGGAATACTTTTTAATAATTTTTACTTTAAATTTAGCTATTTATAAAAGAAACTAGGTTAATTATATTTTATCTAAGTAGTAATTTCAGAACTTTTACTGTTATGTTTGAACTCAATTAATACATTTTTGTTTTATTTATTTTAACAAAAATATTTCAAATTATTTTTCAAAATCTGAAAAACAAAATCAAACCAGAACCTGCAATTTCATCATTCAGACCAATCAGAATAGCGCACAAAAATAGCTTTTGCTTTAATCATATTTACCCAACTCTCTGAAATAAACCAATAAACACCAAAAAGCTTTCGTTGGACAAACAATTAGATAACCAGAATGTGGGGGCTCCCCCACCAGGTTGCAAAGTGCTCCATATGTCCGATAATAAATCAGCTCTTTACGATCCCGGGAACAGCCAATTTCCATTCGTAGATAACACCATATGTTGGCGGCACTCCTGATAAGCACACTTCTGGTTTCTGTGAAGCGAATGCAAGACTTGCCAGCCTTAATTACTAATTTATAATTCGATTCATTTGAACTTTATTGGGTTTCCGGCATTTACTACACACACAAGCTCACTCAGTGATTAAAAAGGCTTCCCCGATTTACACCAGGTTGCACTACGACGCACTACTGCCTGGACTAAGTCACAGATTGCTTTTGATTGGGGTGGGGGCGGGAGGCGCTTATACAGTTTAACTTCTACTTCACATTTAGATTTCGACTCGCACGACATGGGTGCGGACATGGTTCTTCGTTGAAACAGTATATACAAAATATACAGGGATAAAGCTATTATAGTGATTTACTTCGCCTTTACTTGCGCTGCGAATTGGAAGCTGAGCTCCCGAGCGCGGGAAAGTTCTTTTTTAGCTCGTGCACTTGCTGATGGCCTTCCAAATCTTGTGCGATGAGAATCTGCTTGCAGACCTTGCAAACCTCCAGGCTGGGCACGGACTTGAGCTGCGATGGCGATAAGCTGTTCAGATGCTGCTTGTGCACTAGATAAAGCTCCTAAATAAAAAACATTCAAGGTTAATTACCGAGATGCATAGCTTTGTATTTTGAAACGCTTACCTGTTGCTTGCTTATGTCGGGCAGCATGGCCAAGAGCTCGGGGAAGAGCTTGTAGAACGAGCTCAGCATGGCGCACTGGCAGTGCTCATAGTACGCCTGACCTGTGCAGGAGCCATCCCGGAATTTGGTCGAGAGCAGGCGAAATTCGTTAAGAGCCTCTGGTGTTTTGAGTATTTCAATAAACTGGTCCACCAATTTCTGAAGCAAGGATAACCAAATATGAGTTATGTTATTGTTTATAATTTTCCTAAATGTATTATTAAAACTCACCTGATTCCTGAAGCCAGTATCTGGTGGATCAGTGTACGTGTAGGGGCTAGGCACAATGTTGTAGGTCTCACCCATCGAGCTGGTGAACGTCAGGTTGTTGGGCAGCTTGGCCACCGAGTTGACAGTCACATTGGACATGAATCCAGGCGGTGGTCTCAGTGGTCCGCCGGAACCCAAGCCAGGTGGATTACGTACCGGCGTCGATGGGGTACCATTGGCAGATGCTTTTTGTTCGTTGTTATTGTTCTTCTCTTTTTGTTTGGCCGCCGCCGGCGCCTTGGGTTGATTTTCCTGGTTGCTCTTTTTATCCTTTGCCTTTTTATCTTTTTTATTGCCCTGCTGTTCGGCCACATTGTTATTGCTCGCCTTGGTTGCCGGCTTGGCAGAGGTCGTGGGCAGGACAGGAGCCGGGGCCACCTTAGCCTTGCGATTTTCCAGCTCACGCTGCTTCTTCTCGGACACCGGCTTGGCCCAGTTCAAGGCAGCAGATCCATTAACAGGCTTCGAGACATTTGCCCTGCCAAAACTAGCACTGGAGCTTGCACTCGGTCCCAGGGTGGGAAACTCTGCGGCGGTAAGTTTGGGAGCACTCTTCTTCAAGGCCTCCTGACGAGCCTTTGCCTCGTTCTCTTCTTGTTGTACCATTTGGAGCTTCTGGAAGGTGGTCGGGTTGGCCACCGACACATAATCATCGACCAGCGTTCGGTGCTTGGCCGAGACATTCGTCATGGGCATTCCTGAGCCGCTGGGCAACATGTCCTCCTCCAGGTTGCGTAGATTCTTCTTGTTTCCCTTGCCCGGCAGGGCAGGGAAGTCCATTTGTGGAGGAGCTGCTTTTTTGGACGAAGCTGCCGAAGCTCCGGCTGCCGGTCGATTGGACACGTGCAGGAGCATTCCATTGCTTGGCGCTGCAGCTCGGACAGCTGAACTGGCTCCACTGGTGGGCTTTTTGAATACAGCAGCCACGGGATGCTGGGACTGGGCGGCTCTGGTAAAGAGACTACTGCCAGTTGGGCCACCGCCCACAACTCCCCCGTTTCCACCACCCAGGGCTGGGAAGTTCTCTTTGGTCCGGGCAAGTCCCGAGGTCCCGCTGAGATTGCGCATCGAGGGCGGCGGTGGTCTCACCAAGGACACGCTCGGAGCAGTGGAGGCACCTCGCAAAGTGGGAAACTGCTCCTCGTTGTCGGCATCTATGCTCACTTGACGCTGGGTGCTTGTCGACGGGAGCTCGTCCAGGTAATCGCTGTGCTCATCGTTCCTGGAATAGTTTTCCCAAGTTCAATTAAGAGTCTTTAGGATGGAATTTCTACTAACTTACCTTGCTCTCATGTTGGCTATGCCCTGTTCCGTCTGACCGCTGCGTCCGCGTGGTCCCAAGGTTATCTCCAGCTGCAGGGTGCGAGTCTGCTTGGCCTGCTGCTTGTTCAGCGACTTGCCGTGCACGTTGGCCACGTGCACTTTGTACGCAATCTCGTTGTGGAAGGCGCCCACAAACTGCACCGTGGCACACTTGCCCTCCTCGCAGAGGAAGTGCTCCTGCCGGAAGTGATCTGCCAAGTCGGCATAATCGTTGTAGAACTCATTGCAGCCGTCAGCGTCGCAGAAGTGGCAGAAGTAATGCTCGCGGCGCAAATGACGGAACAGCTCATCCCTGTCCACATAACGCTTCTTGCAGTACTCGCACAGTGGATGACCGCGATGCGAGCGATTGTCCGGATCGCCCTTGGTGTTGTGCAGCTGCAGCTCCTGCTGTGTGTAGCAGCGGCGCTCGAAGGTGAAGATCTTCAGCGTCTCCACGCAGAGGTCGCAGTAGTGCAGGCTGTGCTCGCTGCGCACATGGTTGCGCAGGCCCTGGAACGTTCGGTACGGCGGCACATCGCACCTAGAGGGTTTCAACGTCGAGGATGAGTCACAATACAAGTAACCTGAGTGTCTGGCGGGTATAATTACTTGGGACAGGGATGGTCGAGGAGCTTGAAGAACTTCTGCTGAATCTCGGCGCTGCAGAAACCGATGCGGTACTTCTTGCTGTAGAAATCGGAGCGGTTGTTGGCCTCCAGTTCGCGGTAGGGCAGCTTCTCCAGCGTAAACAAAACCTGCGGAAAGGCTCCGTATTTATTTTGGCTTCTTGATCGCTAGCCAGTGGACTCACCTTGGACAGGACATGACGACAGATGGGACACTCGTTCTGCTGGCACAGGACGCGCATACGTGTGGAGCACTCGTAGCAGACCGGATGGTCGCAGTCGCCAATGGAGTAGATGTCCACGTTCTTGAAGCACACCACACAGGCGTTATCGTCGTTGCCCACTTGGTAGTCGGTGGTCTCCGGCTTGACCCCGGCACTCTCCGTTGAGCCGGCAGCGGCTCCGGGACGTGGACGGCGATGGTGCGACGACCTGGCACCGGACCTGGTCTTCACGTTCTGCATTCTCTCACTCTCTCTCTCAAGCGCAGCGACGGGAAAGGGGAAAATTACTTGTTGCCAAGGGCGCAGTGAAATCGCTGTGAAAACGGTGTGCAGCCGTGTTCCCCGCAGAATAAACAAAGGGCTTTCGGATACCCGCAACTTCTCGGCCCGCGACGGAGCAGTATTCTGGCAAAATCAAGCAATTAAATGGAATATTTGCAACGCCAACACGTTGTCTTTGGTTTTTTTTCGAACAAAAAGTGTAAGCTGTGTTTCACATATGAGAAAAATACCACGAAAGTGGGCACAAGACAGTGTGGCCAGATGAAATATCCCCCTAAAAAATCCAGTTTACCACCTAAATTTAAAAAATCAGTTAATTTCAAAAATATAAAGAAGAAACGTCTTATTGTTACTTTATAATAATGTTTTTTTTTTTATACATATGCATCGGTTTGGAAACCTCTTCGTTCACAAAAAGTTTCTACATTTGTTTAGTTAGTTCAAAAGTTGTTGCAATTTTTGGATAAATCAATACATACAAGTAGTCTTAATACAAGTTAAAAAAAACCCCTAAACTTTCACTCTACAAATTCTTCCCCCCTAAAATTCCCCCTAGGACACTAAAAAACCCCTAAATCTAGGGGGGAAGACCCCCCGCCACGGAACACTGCCAAAAGATAAGATAAAGCCATGACACGAAAAGTGAGAAACGTGGCTATTCCTGGCCAAATTTCAGGAAAATGTGAATTACAGTGCTGAATAAACGGCTTTTCGAATTTCGAAACAGCGGACAAAACCAAAATCTGTAAAGTTCTTTAAATTTTACCGTTAAAAACTGTGAAATTTGTAATTTAATTTGTCATAAAAGCAATTGTGTAATATGTTCTCACCAAGGTCATTTAATTATACAAAAGTTTTCGTTAAATTATAAATTTAGAAACCATTTTACAAAGGAATTCACACCGAATAAAAGTTTTTAATATCGAAATCGGACGTATAAGCTACTAGATGAGTTAATAAACAAATTTCTGTAGGAAATGCGTACAACCCCTTGTTGGGTTTTGTAATTTGAAACTTCTGCAATAGTAAGGCTCCCTTTTAAATACTTCCCAAACTCATAAAAAACAAACATTTGACTTTTCGAATGCATGTATTTCATGCCCTTGAGTTGCGACTACATGATTGGACTAATTAATCGTTTCAATGGAAGCTTAATATTCCGCTCAATATTCCTTTAGCTGGTTTATGCCTTCGGTGTCCTTGGGGACTTCTTGAAGCGCCTGCCATACTGGTTGTAGCCATAGGGATCCACCAGGTTGTTGGGCCTGCCCCTCAGTTGCTGGGTGATCAGTGCCTGCTGCTGCTGCTCATTCTGCTGATCCTTCTGTTGCTGGTTAAGATTCTGCTGCTGGTTTAGATTCTGCTGCTGCTGCTGGTTAAGGTTTTGCTGCTGTTGCTGCTGCTGCGCTTGCTGAGCCGTGAGATTGCTACCAAATTGCTGTCCCGGCTGGCCATATTGTCCGGCGTACTGTCCGGCCAAATTGCCGGAATGCAACTGGTTGAAAGGCTGATCGGGCTGATATTGCCCGGAGTTCTGTTGCTGCTGGAAGTTACGTTGCTGCTGCTGCTGCTGTTGCTGCAGCGGGTTCAGAGGCTGCTGCCCCTGGCCTGGGATCTGGGGACGAAAGGGAGCGTTGGGCAGCGGAGGCGGCAGTTGGCGGAAGGGCGTCTGATATGGATTCAGATTGGGATTGATGACACCACCGGCCTGTTGATAAGGCTGGGCGCCTAGAAAGTACTGAGGAGTGGCTGGTATTCCGGTGCCTTCTGCGCGGAATCCATTCTCGTCGGCAATGTAACGGACGGTGATGGGAGTGCCTTCCGGCGAGGTGTAAGAATAAGAGCCCTGGATGACCTGGAACAGGATAGGTAACATGGTTTAAAATTAATCCATCCAAATTCAAATTTCTTGGTATCCTCAACAGGTTTCTACTCACCTGTGCCTCTACCCCTTCGCCGTATCCCAAGTTCTTGACATATCCCTGGGCCTGGGCAGTGGTTCCATCGGCGGATGAGTAACCGTAGGAGAAGCTCCCATCCAGATTGAGTTCGTTCTGGTAGGCCGTGATGGGTACATAGTTCTGTTGCTGATACTGATTGTAGCGCGTGTAGGGATTCTGCAGTCCGGCTCCAGTTAATGGCGAAGCCAAAGGATTCCCGAGTGGATTTAAAGGATTCCTCTGTGCCGGAAATAATCCTTGACCCTGCACTGGATTGGGTTGGCGGCGCTGGAATGGATTGGCCTGCTGCAGCGGTGGAACCTGCGGCCGTTGTCCCTGGAAACCAGTTCCCGGCAGCTGAGCCTGACTAATGGATATGGTTATGGATAGCCAGAGGATGAGCCAGCGGATCTGGCGGAATCGCGGGGAGCGGGCCCTAGACATTTAGGCTGTCAGTGGGCGGGTGCCGTGGATCATAAATCTCGGACGGAGCGTACGGAGCTCCCAATTACACGCTCGATAAACCCGACGTTTCACTTTCGCACTGAGTTATGGCTGGGATTCGGATTCGGATTCTGACTGCGGTTGAGTTTGAGATGGCGATGGAGCTGGAGATTAAGATGCCACTGGAAGTTACTGATCGAACGTTGTGGCACGACTGCAACGGCGGCTTCCAGTCGCTGCCGTATTTATGCGATTCTCGATCTCAATCTCGATCTCCGATCCGAGCGGCGGGCCCTAAAGCTCAGCTTTATGGTTAGAACAATCGACCCAGCGACCCGGCCGCTTCCTGTGCCCACTGCTGACCGCATCTCGATGGCCATCTCCCGGGGGCAGTGTAATTTATCTACGTGTTAACAAGTCTCCGCTACTGCTGGGTGGCAGCTTTATTGGTTTTTTATCGGCCATTGACAGAAGGACAAACGAATTTAGTTGGTGGCTATGCTTCTGACTCCAGCTGATTGATATCTTCATGGTGGCCAGCTCTCATCTTCCGCGCACTTGTTTATGAGGCGGCCCCCGTATGCAAATTGTTGGGGTTTTTGCTCCAGCACCTGTCTTCGCAGGTGTCTGTGTGAGTTATGTGTGTGCCCCGCGGAGCCGCGATCCCCATGATCTGGTTGGTGGTCAAGGTGCCAGTCGGACCTGAACTTGGTCTACAAACATCATTTGTCAAATGGGATACAGAGATACTATGCCTATCCCCAGGATAGTCAGTGGGAGCTTGTCAGCCGGAGGTGTTCCATTGTTCCACGCTCCACTGGGGTTATTCATCAGGCGTTCGCTGGGCCTGGGATTGCTCATGTCCAGATCTAGGCGAGATGTGATTTATAACTGCCAACTGGCTGACACATACATTTTCGTTTGTCATCTGCTGCCATTAAAATTCGAACATGTCTTATTCCATGTTCAGTTCATGCTTTAATTGCATATGCTAATTTCCGATGATGATGAGATTTTCCATACCGAAGCAAGGTTAAGAGGCCCAAGTACTATTGCGAATTCATGGTGGTCTCGCTGAATCTTATTTTTTTTTTAGTTTCTATAAAACTAATTACATTTTGTACAGGAAATCGTAATATTTTGTGATGTCAAAAGGGGTTTAATTTATAATTCATTTTCTTTATTTTAAATAAATGATAAACTTGCATGCTTTATTTCTATTAAAAGCCTAAATGTGAGCAAAGCTTTGTGCCTTCATTTTTAGCACTATTCAGCCAAAAAGTAGACTAGTGAAATATTTTAAAATTAAATAACTTCCACATTAGGTGAGCTCAACTTTGCCATGCCCTATAATTTAGTAACAACATTTTCCATCGCTTTTACTTGTAATTTTATTAGAGGTAAAAAATAAATGCAAATGAATACTTCTGAATGAACTATTAAAGCTAAGTCATATGGATAAGGGCTCCAGAGAACATAGTATAAATTACCAAATTACCAAAGGACCTTGTATAATAAATTTAAATTCCTACAAACATAGCTGAAGACAATTGTTTTTTTTTTATGTGAGTTATGTTAAACCAGAATTGAATAAATAAAGAAATAAGAGTGTAAATATTTCATACATACTTTTATGAGAAATTTAAAATTGTTTTACAACCTTTATAAATAAACTGTTAATAAAATATTATCATATATATTTTATTTAGATTATTTTAAACCACAAACATACTTTTAAAATCATCTTTAGTAATTAAAGATTTATTTCAAATAAATACAATTTTTTTCCTTTATCCTTACCAATTCATTAGGCACCATATTTACTTAAGTTTAATAAAATAATAAAAAAAAACAAGAAAGGAAGCTAACTTCGGCACGCCGAAGTTTGTATACCCTTGCAGATTGGTTTTGATGTTTATATTATAGATTTAAATGCTGAAAACACACACAAAACAGAGTTTCATTACATTTTACCTATACTTATTATCTTTACATTTTGACAGTTACAGTTTTACATTCCCAGCTTTACATTTTCTCTACATTTATCGATCGTTTATATGGCAGCTATATGATATAGTTGTCCGATTTTCATAAAATTTATACCAAAATTCTAGAATAATAAAATAAGCTTATATCTAAAAGTAGATAAGAATATGTTGAAAAACAACGAAGTTATACTTTTTTCCTATTCATTTGCCGATCGTTCCTATGGCAGCTATAAGATATAGTCGTCCGATTTTCATAAAATTTTTACCAAAATTCTGAAATAATATAAAATGGCTATGTCTCAAAAATGATTCATTGAAAAACAGCCAAGTTATAATTTTTTTTCTAAAAATTTATCGAACATTTGTATGGGAGCTATATGATATAGTCGTCCGATCCGGCCCGTTCCGACATATATAGCAGTGAGAGTATATAGAAGACTATATGCAAAGTTTCATTCAGATAGCTTTAAAACTGAGGGACTAGTTTGCGTAGAAACGGACAGACGGACGGACGGACGGACAGACGGACGGACATGGCTAGATCGACTCGGCTGTTGATGCTGATCAAGAATATATATACTTTATAGGGTCGGAAACGTCTCCTTCACTGCGTTGCAAACTTCTGACTGAAATTATAATACCCTGCAAGGGTATAAAAACAAAACAAAAATAAGATATATAGGCTTCCCAGTGACGTTTCAGCCTAATGAGATGCTCAAATGTGAGTGTCAAATATTAATTATAAAATTGCCTGCCCCACATTGGGCAAGAGTCACCGAAGATTGATTTGCCATTTAAATAATTCACGAAACTGGAGGAAATAATAATGGCAATATACAAACAAAGCGCCAAAATGCGGGAAAACAAGCAAGAAGTGCGAATGCGGGGCACACAAAATGGAAATAAAACATAAAAATGGCTTTGCCAAATTTATGCAGAAATGCGACGAGGCACAAACACACAATGTTGCTGCTGCCCGATGAGCAAACCGCATTAAAGACAGGTCGGGTCGGACACTCCTCCCACGCCAGCGACTCCGTCTCCATCTCCCTCTCCGCCTGTGAATCCCCGTCCCTTGATACAGCTCCAAGTTGGACAGCGGCTGCGACGATTATTAATAGACTGCAGCCAGAAAGCTGCACTGCATCGCTGCGATGGCTTGGTTTGACATTTTGTAATTGCAGATTACCATTAGCTGGAAATTATGGTCGCCGGCGCGGCTAATTGATTCACTTTGAGGCGAGTGCGTAGAGCGGCCGCAATGGATATTCATTCTATGCATTCCATTCAATGCCTTCTGGTTCCGGCTGAAGCAGATCGCGGCAAAAGGTCAACGTGTCGCAGCTCTGAATTATGACCTCGCCGGCATTGCGATTGCCACCTTAATGAGTTTCTACTTCTGCGGCAGGCGCGTCAAATGTCACACTTGGAAAAAATCGAAGACTGGTAGGGGATTAGGAGTTTTTAGGGGAATTAATTTTAAGGAACAATTTTTTGGTGGCTTGATTAAAAAATTATTTACAACAAAACGATTGAGAAATAGACTTTAAGTTATGATATTATTTGTAGGTTATTTTTGTTTAATTTTTAAAAAGGCTTTAATATTTATTTATGAGATATTAGTCATAAAATTATGAATGTGTGAAGAGCTTAATACAAAGTAAAAACTAAATAATGGTCTTCATTACAACTTCAAGAAGAACAACTGTAGTTCATGACTTATAAACATTTTATGAGTCTGCCAACTATTAATGGAGTATTTAAACAACAAGAAAACAGATATTTAAATTACAACCAGTAAAGTTTATGGCTCTGTAGGAAAAGTTGCTATTCTTATAGAAATCTAAGGTAGATACACTCAAATAAAGATAATAATTATACAGATTTTAAAACTTATGAAAACGAGAAACCAGATTAATTATTATTCTAAACAACTATGAAGAGGGTTATTTTAAAATTCCAATAAAGTTCATTTAAGGCTCTGTAGTGCCGTCTCTGTCTTAAATATTTTTCCCAGTGCTGATCAGCAGTTGTACTTGCTGCTTCGGGAGGGGATTAGAGCCCAGAGCCGTCTTGGGGAGCCACCGAGAATCAATTTATTAACACGTTGCCCGAGCGAGAGCCCGGCCGTTTTGGCAAGTGGAACTGGAAATTGGAACTGGGCGGGCCAAGGCAAATGCCAAAATGCAACTTCTGCCTCGCAAGTTGCACAGGTTGCAGGTCTCAAGACTCGGCTGCTGCCACTGCCACTGCCGCTGTGATGGCAGAATTGCGAAATTGCTGGAAATTATTATTGAATTCTTTTTGTCTTGCCGTTTTGCCGTCTGTTTGCCATAAATGTTAGCCGCTTCTCAAAGCCCCAGAGGTGCCCACCCACTGAAACAGAATTTTGGAATTTGCATGGCACTCTCGGGGTGGAGGTCTCTGCGCTCTCAGCCGTTACCATTTCTGCACCTTTCGCCTTGCATTTGTCAAATTTCATTAGCTGCTGCACCTCTTGGTGGAGAACCCACGCACCTGGCCGGTGTTTACGATGCTATCTGCATTGTAAACATGACAGACACACTTCTAATGGTTCGATTTGAATTGCAAATCCACAAATCCGACAGATTGGCGGTTCAACAAACTTCGGGCCAGCTACTTTCTACTGACCCCAAAAACGGCATCGGGGATTGCATAACTTTGCCCCAACTGGACCGGCGTCCAGTTCTTCTGCTCTAACGGAGTGCCTATAAAAAGCGCAGAACCTTTTGTGCGCGCTCCCAGTATTAGCATAAATCATGTTCGCATTGGTAAGTAGTAGTCGTCGGCGGCTGGCTCATGAATACGGGAGCGTTAAGTGAGTCTTTTTTCTACTCTCAAACTCCCCAGCTATTGATCTTGACGGGGTGCTGCCACCTGTGGAGCTGGACGGCTGAGAGTGCCGCCATTAGTGGTCCAGTGCCAGTGCCAATCCTCAAATCTGTGGCCGAGCAGCAGAGCGATGGCTCGTACTTCTTCAACTACCAGGCAGCCGATGGCAGTTATCGCGAGGAGGTTGGCATTGTGAGGAGATCCGATTCGAAGGCAGATGCTGATGACGATAATGACGAGCTGGAGGTGTCCGGTATTTATCACTACATCGACGACTATGGACAGACGGTGGAAGTGAGCTACACGGCCGACAAGAATGGCTTTTTGTCCCATGTCAGGCGAATTCCCATAAATAAAGCCATCCATTGAGCCATTAATTTTGATGGGCAAACATTCTTGCAAATGCTAGATGTACAATTACCAAAGCGGAGCCACAATCCAGGCTTAAATCGGACCAGCTTTGGGCCACAAAGGAGCGGCATGAACACAGTGAAAAAATATAATGAAACGGGTTTTGCAAAGGTAGGGGAAAGAGAGGTTATATTAAAGATTTCGGAGATAGATTTTGATTATAGATTTCTATCTTAATTAAATTATAAAGGTAATATTATACTATAAGGTTCTGTAATTTAACTTAAAGGCTAAATTTTCAAGGAGATCTGAGCTTTATTTACTTATGCTGATATAAGACATCATTCTGTACTCTTAAATCACCTTTAATATACCTGGAGTGTATAACAAACTACGTAGTCTATCCTCTGCATTTGAACTATTAATATAAACACAGTTTTGTGACCGAATGAAGCTTAAATTGATTACAGCTGCTAATTTCTTCTCTACAAAAACAAAAACCCGATTTTCCTCTAATATTTGATAAGTATTTTTATCGCTGTGCCTAGGTCCAGCTGAAATTGCTGTCTCATCGCTTAGATATTTAATTTGCGGCAGATTTTCAAAAATTAGTTAAGCTGTCAAAGTTATAGATCGCGGCGGCAACACCAGAGATTGCCCTTTTGCCTGGAGAGCAGACAAGCCAAATGTCGTTGTCGATTTGTATTTATCAGGCTGTTGAAATTTATAGCAAAAATAACACGATCGTTTATAACTATATAGCCCCGGAACTACCGATGATTGAATTAATGGCGATGCAATGTAAATGAAATTGATGATGCGCCCCATCGAGATTCTGAATCGAGCCATTTGTCAGATATATATCTGTACATAGAGATGGGAGCTGTGGATGTGTAGATGGAGATACACCCCATAGCAGATCATAATATAAATTGCATCAAAGCTGGCATTTTACACGATTCTGGGATTGGTATCTCGGGCAAGGTGTGAGGTGCGACTGATTAATCGCGACACCTGGCGAGTGGGAGAGCCGAGTGCGCGAGTTATGCAGCCCCACCGAGAGCCCGTTAATGGTAGCGCCGATCGGTGTCATCAATCTGACTGACTCAGTTATAGATAGAAGCTATGTCCCGCCAGCATAGTGACACATTTTTGGATCAGACTCTGACGGCTGACCCACCGGAGGCCTTGACATTTAGCTTCGCCGTATTTTGAAGTTTGCGGACGTAGCGTCCACATAAAACGGGATGCAAACATGTTTAGCATGTTTAAGCGAAAGACCCGAAAGAGCTGGAGCTGGATGCTATCGAAATTTGTTAGCAGGAGTGCGCGACTATAAAAGCCAACCGGCCGATCCACATTCAGTTCACACGCGCTTTAACTCTCGCTTTCTACGCTGCCCTCCCAAAAAACTCCCGCAGAAATGTACAAGTTCGTAAGTGGATCAAAAAAGGATCAAAAACGCATTTTGGTCTAGTTATCCAACCGGAAAATAAAGATATTTAAAAAGTGTTAAATAAAAACATAAAAAGCTTGACCTTAAAAACATTTGTAGTAAAAGTGAAAAAGTATATATAATCTCAAGAAACTTTATCCAATCTCCGGCAGCTTCCCCTTTTCGTTCTGGCCGTGCTGGTCATCTCTAGTCATGCTCTACCCGTGGATAGCGAATCCTCGGTAGAGCCGGAGACTACCAAGGACAACGAGGGATCCTTTGACACCGTCTACGAGAGCAGAGTTGAACCCAAGCAGCGTGTTCTACCCAGGGAGCCCAACCAAAGCGAATCCACACCAGTGGCCATCGTGAAATCAGAGACCAACAAGCACAACGATGGATCCTACGACTCCGTCTACGAGAGCGCAGATGGAACCGTGCGGCAAGAGGACGCCGCTATAGTTGATGCGGGCACCGATGAAGAGGCCCTGGAGGTGAAAGGATCCTACAAGTACATCAATGATCTGGGTGAGACTGTGGAGGTCTTCTACACGGCGGGAAAGAACGGATTTGTGCCATATGGCTCCATCATCAATCCGGAGATCACAGCTGTGGCCGAGGCAGCCAAGGATCTGCCAAAGGCGGAAAAGTTCGAGAAGGTCGAAAAGTTCCAAAAGGTGGAAAAGTTCGCTAAGGTTGAAAAGTTCGAGAAGGTTGAGCAGGCGGAGGAGGCTTGAAGAGATCTCGTAGAATTAGACTTTGTAAATAGGATTGTTCAAAAGAGCCAGCGCGTTGTAACTAGATAAACAGAAATAAAAAATAAAAGATAAAAGATGTTACAAAGCGTTTTTTATATTATTGTTTAAGTTATTTCTTATTTGCATAAATCATTCTTTGTTTATTTAGCCGAAGATGGCTTAAGTACAGTGAGGAAAATTGAAGCTAAAAAATTGAATTTAAAAACGAAAATAATGAAGTTTAAGTATTTATAAAATTATATAAAAGAGAGAGAATATTTGACACCTTATAATAATTATATTCAAGTTTCTAGAACTTTAAACTATAATTTTTCCAGTGCACAAGAGGGAAATACCCTCCCCAAAAGACCTTGAAAAGCATAACCAAACTTGGCACAGTATCACAGTCTGGGATGCCGTATGATTAAGCACACGTTTGGCCACTTTGGTGGCAGGTACAGTGATACCTGCTGCCCCGGGGGCTAAGCTACCGATGATACAGACCCCCGCTTCAATACATCATTACACACGCCTAAACACCGTCCATTAGCCATTGATCGCAGACATATGTATGAAATAAAGATCTAACGAAGACGAAAGCATTAGAATCAAATTGGCCATTTAATGGGACATAAATCATTTCGGGAATTTGCATAATGAATAGGAAAGGTTTCATTCAAAATCCATAGGCACCGATCACATTAAACTCCACGAGATTAAGGACCCCCAGAAAGAAGAGGTAGTAGGCAACCAGGAAAAAGCCACAAGCCCTTCGCATCTGGAAATTTGTGGTGAGGCTGCAGAGCAGAGAGATAAGCAGGGCCACCTCCAAGAAGATGCACACCGTCTCCCCGAAACTTTCCTCAGACAGCTGGAAGGAGAATCATTGCCAGAAAATTCGCAACGCAAAATTAAATAATCAGCTTTACTTACCATTATTTTGTTGGGAGTGTTTGCAAATGCCTCCCGAGTAATTGGCATGGCTATAAAGACACAGGCAGCTGCAGGTAAGTTTAGAGGAGATGCCACATTTTTACAGTGAAATTTGTAAAATAGTTACCCAATACAGGCGACGAAAAGGTGGCCGTGTAGGCCATTTTAGAGAATCCTTGTTTGGCCAGCATGATATTGGTTACCAGATCGTTGCTGCATATGGCCCAGGAAATAACCGTAGCCATGGCGAACTGAGGGCTCAAAGACAAAATCGTGGCCAAAGCGAAAAACATGGCATTCACCTCGGAAAGCAGGCCGAAGATCACCGTGATCACGGCTATGAGACTCAAAGCGGATGTAAACTGTTGGGAAGAGTGTAGAATATTGATCGTAGGATGAAGTGGTTACCTCCCAGTTGTACTTACCTTAAAGAATCTAGGCGTGGTATCCGTGCGGGTCACAAAGAACACGATCACAGTCACGACAACCATAAACATCAACGCGTAGGCGTAATAGGGAATCCCCAGTAATTCAGCTTGCAAAACTGCAAAGGCAATCAAGTCAGATGGATCGTTCTAGGATGAACATACTCAATCTCACAAAATATGAAGACCACGTAGGTCGGGACGATTAGCAATTGCAGGCAGAAGAGGAGCTTCGACCAGTTGTACAGAGGCTTCTCCACATCCACCACGGGGATTAGCAGGCGGATAATAATATCGATGGGCAGCTGAAACAACAGGAAGATCTTCAGCAACACTGTTCCGTGTCGAAAGCGATCCTTGTCGAATACGAAGATGGAGTGCCAGAACTGCCGGAATAAGTGGCGATTGCGTCCTCCATGGCGCTTGGTCCTATCGAGCTCATGCCGATTTATCTGCAGATCCGATTTGAGGTCATTCAGCTGCTCATCTGCGCTAAGGTTACCCCGTCTTCGTTCAAGTTCTAGTGGGTAACACAATCTGCTGATCAAATCTGAGACTCTAGGGAGATTTCAAGATATACCCACTTCGAATGCGGGCTGTCAGCAAGTTCTGCTCGATGATGACCACCGCGATGTAACCAATGAGTATGAAGTTGCTGGGCAGAGCCAACTCCCAGCCGATCCCCTCCGGACGCTTGAAAATGAAGTCCATGTAGGCTACGTTCAAAAAAAGAAAGCCAAAGTCACGCAGATAGTAGTAGGGGTCTATTTCGAACGGGTTTGTCAGCATCACTAATCCGCCGACGAACGTTTGCAGGAAGATGGCCTGCGACATACAGGACAGAAAGGCGTATTTGCCGGCGACCAGACGGGCTGCAATGGACATGAATAGGTCCGGAGATCCATTGGCAACGGTCAAAAGCGTGACTCCCGCCGCGTTCTGGCTAAGACGACATCCATCCGCTATTACCTTCAAACAAGGACAAAAGCTAGCGGGCGACACGCTCTACTGATACCCAATAATATTTATGAAGCTTTTTCTAATAGACTCACTAGTTTAGTACGGCGAACTGCATCATCCAAAAGACATAGGTGAGCACAAGGATCATGGCCAGCACACTCCAGAAGGCATTGAATTTGTTTCGTTCGTCCACGTAGCAGTAGTGCCACCGCATGTAGTTCACTAAATATATGTTTGACAGGCAATCGTTGTTGTTGGTGACAAATTCGCAGCGTTTTGACTGCAGCATCGAGTGCACGTCTTCGCACAATTCAGGCATTTTTATTATATTTTTAAGTCAGAATTTTAAGTTAATAGAAGTTGTTTACGATGACTGCAAAGGCAAGACCTGCTTGCGAGTGGGGCGGCTTTAACTCTGAAATGCACTCGGATAAATAATAACACGTAGAACTTGTCGGGGTTTTACGCGACGTGCGTCGGGATGTTTATTTAGTCGTAGGTAAATTGGTACTGAATACAAAGTCGAAACTAAAGCTAGGGAGAGCGGATTAGAAGCTCTAGGGACTGGAAGTCCGGAGGAAGAGGGAGAGAAAAGGAGAGCGTTCGGGATCACACTGCCTCCCGAAATTAAACGCCTTTCTGGCGTGAACATTCTCCCCCCCCCTTGCGAGGATACGCAGCAAAAGTAACAGGAAGGATTAGCTCTGGAAAACGTAGGATAACGCTGAGCACTCGTTGGTATGGAGAAGAGTGTGGTGATCCTGTCCACACGACTGGCATCGGTCGCTACTTCGACAGGATCCTCCGGAATGGTGGTGGGCCAGGCAGTTGACGCAGTACTTCCTGTCGATGACTGTCTGGAGCCGTTTCTTCGCATCAAGCCGGAGAAAACGGTGACACTTCCGAAGAGGATGGTTCCCTTGGCAGACTCGGCATTGGTAGGATAAAATACCTCGGGAACGTCTGCTCTTGCTATCGTCGTATGGAACCCAGTAATTGGAGGAATCGGCAGAAGTGGTCACTCGTGTGGAGAACGAGGAAATCCTTTGGATGGGTGCAGGAATTTGTGGTGCGTTATCACGAGGATTCGGAACACTGGATGAAGTGTTGCTTGGATGCAACAATGTGTGATGCCGACCGTGACAAGTCAGACAGTTGTGGGCGCTTGTACAATTACGGAGTGGATGACCGCTTGCAAAGCAATTTAAGCACAACTGCTTTTTCTCAATGTATGAAGTACGATCTTCTATCGTCATTTGGAGGAAGCGTGGACATTTACGCACTGGATGGTTCTCTGCAGAACACAAATCGCATCTTTTGGATAAGTGAACAATCCGCGTACTAAAGGATTGTAGTACTCGTGGCGACTGGTTGGAGATTGTCGGTTTAGACGAACGGAGGCATATCGTAGGAGGCTGGAGAGAATCGATGGTTTCCAGAGTTCTATGGCGCTCAGTAAGGAAAGAATCGAGTTCTAGCCACGACGGAATATCGGTTTTATTTGTTAAGGATTGCTCCCATAAGGAAAGCGTCAGCTTTGGAAGCTTCGTGGAGCACAAATAAACCAGGAGGCAGTCCCAATTATCCGTAGGAAGGCCGGACAGAGTTAGGGATGTGAGGCAATTTTGAATTGTATTTTGCAGCTCCTTCAAGGCTGCCGAGGACTCACGTTCAATGGACTGAATGTTCAGTAATTTCTTCAGTTGGCTGTTCACCAACGCGCGTTTATTTTCGAAACGCTCAGTTAGGTTTCCCCATGCTGAGCGGAAACCGTCATTGGTGAGTGGCGAATTGGAAACTATGGAATGAGCTTCACCACTAGTCTTGGCATTTAAATAGAACAACTTTTCTACAGGGATCAGCGTAGGATTGTCGATATAGACCGCTGTGAAAAGGTCCCGGAAAGTCGGCCAGCGAAGATAATCGCCCGAGAAAACTTCCGTTTCGCACGGAGGAAGCCGACAGCCAGACGGAAAGGAATTTTGGGGCGCAGGAGGTTGGACTGGAGACGATTTGGAGGAGATCGTATCGATCTGTTCCATGAGCTGGGCGGCACACCGTTCGTAAATAAAATAGGAGTAGTCGTATTTTGCCTTAAGAGTAGGCAAGGTGTCCTCCGCGCCCTCTACCCCAACTGAAATCAGCTCTGAACAATCTTCGTACTCTTTCTCGACCTTATCCCATAGCGCTCGGACTTGGTCGAGATGGATTTGGCAAGAGTATTTGGATGGAGTGGGCGCTGCTGGATTGCAGACTCGGGACTCGAAGTGACTTAGACGGTCACAGATCAAAGTAAATTTGTCTAAAATTGAAGGAGCCATTCTGGATATTTCTTTATAATTTTTACTATAAATAGGTATTAAAATTTATGTGTCGAAGTTTGATTGGGAATTTAGGAACCAATCGGACTCGTAATAATTATTTTTTAAATAATTATTATATATAATTATTTGTGGAAAATTGTATTTTTCTCGTATGGAATTTAAATCGAGAATATTTGAATTAAATACGGAATTACGAAAATACGGTCACACTAGTGCGGATACGGAAGCGCACTTGGATTTCTAACTTAATTCGTTAGTTGGAATTTTAATATAAAATAATTTACAAATTATTTTATTGATCTGGACTTATGTGATTGACCGGTGTTGTATTTTGGAACCAATACGTGTGTATGTCTATTTGTGCACTTGTCGTATGCAAGTGCAAAATAGCGGAGATAAGGAGAGGCGGAAAAAATTGCCAAATATTGGAGCGTCGACTTGCAGACGATTATGTATGTATGTACATATGTAACTGCAGCTCAGGATAGAGCAAGGGAGCAAATAAACAAATATATGTACGAATTAAATCACTTTATAATTTTAGTAGCTGCGGACAGTTATTGTTGTAAATTTGTAAATATACATAAGTTTCGGAGTGAAGTGGACTGTATTTGTAGTATGTATGTAATGTGAATAAATGCTAGCGGGAACACAGTAAACGAGAAGGAATGAAGAATAATTCGTAATTGGAAAGTTTTACTGTGGCTTAGGCATTTATTTAAACAAACACTTTATGAATTTTGGAACCCGTAGATCTTGTATAGAAATTATTTGGATATAATTTCTCGATTTGGGGAAATGTTGACAGCGATTGTAGTTTTGTGGAGTGGACTGTATTGAATATGTATGTAAATGTAAATAAATGCTAGCGGGAACACAGTTAACGAAGAGGAATCGAGAACTATTGGAATTAAATTCTCACTGTGGCTATTGCATTTATTTATTTATTTAAACACACACTTTTGGATTTCGGCACAGAAACACAAATGTAGAAAATTTGGAAACCGAATTATTTTGAATTTGGAATTGGAAATTATGCTGCCGTGTGTCGGATTAATCGGACTTGGATTTAGACAATAATCATACAGAGAAGTTAAGACGAATTGAGTTTCGCAAAACCTAACTGTATGACCGGCAGCAAAAATGTAATGGACTTATCTGGTGCGGTGTTAAAGCCACCGGAGCTGCTGGTGGATGAAATCCGGCTCTGATGGACCAAATGTTGGAGGGGGGCGGATTTAACTCTGAAATGCACTCGGATAAATAATAACACGTAGAACTTGTCGGGGTTTTACGCGACGTGCGTCGGGATGTTTATTTAGTCGTAGGTAAATTGGTACTGAATACAAAGTCGAAACTAAAGCTAGGGAGAGCGGATTAGAAGCTCTAGGGACTGGAAGTCCGGAGGAAGAGGGAGAGAAAAGGAGAGCGTTCGGGATCACACTGCCTCCCGAAATTAAACGCCTTTCTGGCGTGAACACAATACAATAAGTATTTTCCGAGCGTCTAGAAAGAATTTAAGCTAATAAAAAACAGGTTTAAAATCAAAGAATCCTTTAAAGCTTAAATATATATTAATTTAAGAGATTTCCTGGAGTATTAGCTTCGAGCTACTGTTCACATATTTGGTTAGTTTCTACGACCGACTAAGAAAATATATCTTGCAGAAGCTTCATATTTTTATTAGAATATTTAAATACCGAATATACATGTCTATAAAGAATATAGCCAAAAAATTCCTTAGGAACTTTATGTGTTCTAAAAAAAGATGTTCAATAAAAGAGTTGGGTGAGAACAAAGCCGGGGTATACTCGCTTAATAGGTTGTTTACGAAATCGTTGGAAGGCGTTACTCATCGGTATAATTAATTCTTCCAACTCTCCACCACTTGATTCTCTTTCTCTCTATTATAATAATAATCGTTAATCTTTTGAAAACCTCACTAATAAAGTTCTAAGCCAAGAACGTCGTCATTGCATGAGATTTTTGCTTAAATTAGCACTAACCAAAGCGAAATTTATGACGAGTATTGATATGCAGAGCGCTGAGGCAGCGCATTTCACATGCAGCTGCTGTCGTCCCATTTAAATAGCTTATATATATCTTGGAAATAGGTTTTCGTTTCGTTTTATTTTCTAGCAAAGTTAAATTAGATCGCACTCGGGTTTAATCGTAAATTAAAAATACTTGGGTAAGCTAGAGTCTAGGGCAGTCTAGGCAGTCTTGGTCTCCACCTCCTTAGCGACGACGGGGGCGGCCTTGACCTCCGCCTCGGGCACGGACTCGACAACGACCTGGACGGGCACCACCTGAGACTCGGCGGGCAGGGGCTCGGCCTTGGCCACTATGACGGATTCCTTGGCCACAACAGCATCCTTCTCCACGGCAACGACGGCCTCCTTCTTCTCCACGGCGGCGACCTCCTTCTCCACATCCTGGGAACGGGATCGGCGGGACTTGTACTTCTGCTCCTCCTCCTCGGAAACCTTGGGCAAATCAGCGGCAGCCTTGGCCAGCGCAGTGATCTCAGCGGGAATGATGGTGCCGACGGGCACGAATCCGTTCTTGCCGGCGGTGTAGTTAACCACCACAGTGTTGCCATCGGCATCGACGTAGCTGTACATGCCAGAGACCTCCAAGGCCTCGTCCTCTGTGCCGGCATTCTCGATCACGCCCTGCTCCGAGCGCATGGACTTGTCGCCACCCTCGTAGGAGAAATGGAAGGAGCCATCCGGCTGCTTGTCCGTCTCGAATTTCAGCAGCGGCACAATCTCACGCTTCTCCGTGGTGCTGCTCACCTGGCCAATGCTGGCGGACAGGGCGCCGGTGGCCAGGGCCAGCAGACAGATGGCAATCTTGAACATCTTAAGTGGTACTTTGAGGTAGTTTTTTGGGGAGAGAGTGCGAGATGCTTTCTTGGCGGGAACCGACCGACGACTTGGCTTACTACATCTTCAGGCCATCTTTATATACCGGCATTTAATGTGCGCAGCAGCCGCGAATTAGCATCTTCCAGTCCATTACGCCACCGCCAAAAAATACAAAAAAATAAAACCAAACAGAAAACAAAACAAAAAGCAGCAAAGAAATTCTATGGAAGCGAACAGAATGTGAGTTAATAAAACACTCACAGATTGGCTACGAGATTTGCATATTTATGATTCAGCGCCAAGACCAAGATATCGGAAGAGAGGTCAACCGATCGAAATAAAGCCCCATGATGATGATGATTCCTTGTAATGAGAGCGATTGACACAGGTCTTGAGCTGAGATTCATGTTCCAAAAATCGCAGAAAATCCCGAACAGGTTGATAGCGTCATAAACTTGTTTCGAGTCGCCTTCCATCAGCTGGAATGTCCGAATACCCGGGCCAGCAGTTGATTGATTGCCAATGTTTAGGGAACTGCACAGCCATTAGCATACAGTACGCCCCACACACGCTATACAGCACAAAGGGGCATAAATTAAGATACAGATACACAGTTACAGTTACAGGTTAAGATACAGATACAGATACAGATGATGTGCACTTAAAACGAGCCCAGATCGGATCGATCGCACGCGATCCATCAGTCATCAGTCATCATCACACGGGAAACACTCGAACACGAACCGCCACCGCGATGATGTGTGATGAAAATACATTGAGTACTCCGTGGTACAACTGGGAGTGAGTAAGCCAATCTCGGTGGGCCGCAAATTGTATGTCAAATGTGAAAAATGCACTAAACCAGGCCGGCGAGCCGGCTCGGCGAGGCTCTTCCTCTGGGCCCAAAAACAGCAATTCGAAAAGCAGCGCGAAGGCCAAAGCAAAACGCGGGCAACCGCGAAATTGGCCAAGTAACTTGGCCAACGAAAAGGAAAACCAACTTCGAAGCCGACGCCAAGTGTTGGCTTAAATCTCGGGCGATGTTCATCATGTTCGTGATCATCTCTCAGAGCGTCGGTGGCGGCGGCAGTGCTTTTGTTGGATTTTACCAGCAGTTATTGCCGTAATTTTTATGAATTGCAACTGACATTTCCTACACGCTGGAAAAGTTTAAAGTTTAAGTCTGGAATGGGAGCTGTAGCTGAAACTGAAACTGAAGCGGGACCGGGGTCTCGGGTAACTGGTGCAAGGGGAGTGGTTAACTCGGTGACCTGGTCAGCGAAATTGGGCGAAAAGGGCAGCCAGACTAAGCCCAAGCAATGCTCTTTAACGATGCATTGAAATGGACAAGTTAGTGGGGGGCCACGCCCATTTATATTCCTATCCCGCGGCCCATTGAAATGTCAGATGCAGATTCCATCGGCATGCGAAATGGCCAATTCATCAAATCGAAACCAATTGCAACATCTGTAATCTTTTAATTAATATTTGACTTAACGTATTATTGCAGCCGGCGGTAGCTTGCAGCGAGGGGGCACTAATCAAATGAAGTTCGCATTGCTAATTCACATAAATTACGCGGAGGAGAACCGATCTCGCGCCGCATACGCGGCGTATGCGCAACGCCCATTTGCATTTGAAACTCGTTGCGCATACGCTACGTGGCGCAGTGCAAAGAGAGACGGCAGCTCTTCCGATTCTGCCGCTGTCAGGCACTACTACTGCTGCTGCTCCGCCCGCTCAGAGTGATCCAACTGCTGCTCCTCCTGCCCTTCCTGCCCTCTAGCCGCCTCTGGGCTGCACTGCATCTCGCTGCGGATGCTGGCGCTGCCGTTGCTGCTTCTGCTTCAGCTTCGGCCGCTGCTGCTCCGAGTGAATGCGATTTTGGTATAAAAACGTTTGTGGCAACTGCAGCCAAGTCAAAGCACTTTTGACGAGCCTCCCAGCGCAGTTACCGATACAAAGTCGCGAATTCGAAGTGAGTCTCTGTTCTAATTGCGGTGCGGTGTATCCTTGAATAAGGATTCTAATTTTAAAATGTTAAAATTAAACACAAATAAATGCCAGGACATAAGGATACTCAAGGAAACATAAGACAAACCCGGATGTCATATTAGTTTCTTTCAACTATGGATCATGAAGCTGAAAATCACAGGATATATATGAAATCCTTTTCATTAAATTTCGTTAACTAGAAAGCTTAATCATTTTTACAATAAAGGATTCACAATCCACTTATTGGAAAATCTTAAATTACTTCAACAAAAATACCTATAAAAAGGATTAACTCTACATTTTTATAAGGAAATTCCCTTGGTATACATTTATTTTAATCATATCCAGTTTAAAGGATTTCAATGTATTAAGAAACAGGAGAAAACGTAGGATAAGAGGGCTTAACTTACCTCTACAAGAACCCATTAAGGACTTTATAACATCTCCATATATGGATATTTTTCCCACGACCTTCGATCATCATAATCAACATGATTGCGCAGAACTTTCAAATCGTAAAAGACAATCTCAGTATATCGGATGCTAATTGCCAAGCAACGAGTTTGACATTCAAAGACATCGATGCCGCCGCCGGCAACTCAATCGGGCGCCGCAAACACTAAACACTAAGCACTGAGCACTAAACACTGAACACTGAACACCGCACCTCATCTGCAATACTTGGTTATGACTCTATTTAAGTCGGTGTCTCCTCTCCACGTCTTCCACTCCACTTAAAGGTCATGACGCTCACCCACGCCTCCTTCGTAGCCGTCGCCGTGGCCCTCTGCCTGCTGGGCTCCATTCAGGCCCAGCCCCAGCGTGGACTGCCTCCGCAGCGTGGTAACTCCTTTGATGCGAATGCGGTGATCCTCAAGCAGAACTTTGACCTCAATCCCGATGGCTCCTACCAGTACAAGTGAGATGAAACTCCAAGATCTCTTAGTTATCAAGACAAAAGTTCTAATTACATATTTACTTCCCTTACAGCTACGAGACAAGCAATGGAATTCGAGCGGATGAGGCTGGTTATCTCAAGAATCCCGGCACTCAGGTGGAAGCTCAGGTAGGCATACTTCTAGGCGCTGTCTTGAGACACTCTGGCATACTTCGTGGCGGAACTCTTTTCAGGTAATGCAGGGCTCGTACTCCTACACCGGACCCGATGGCGTCGTCTATACCATCACCTATATTGCTGACGAAAATGGATACCGCGCCGAGGGTGCCCACATACCAACACCGCCACCAGTTAACGCTCCCCGAGCTCCTGGAAGGTTCTTCAAGTAAATTCCGTATCAGTGATTCTACGTAATTCTTCATCGTTATGCTCAAGTTGGCACTCGTTTCGTTGTGGGCCAGCCAAACTGGCCAAAAAAGGGAGGTGAACCAGAGGCAATCAGAGGAGAAGAGTGAGAGCAGCTGCTCCTGAGAGGACCATCATCCCATTCCATCCCATCCTCTCCCATCCATTTTCCAAAACTCCTTCCCCCTTCGTGCTTCATCTGTGCATTTCTACAACCAATTAAGTTTCCAATTTCCAATCTACCATCAACTTAGTGCTAAAAAAAACTGTGTGTGTGAGATAAACATTTGTAAAATACGTAAATTCGATTGTTAAATGTCGTAAAGCAAGGCAAGCTCAGCAATAAAACGAATATTGCACATGAAATCGAGACTTGAAGAGTTTTTTAGGAGAAGGATCGCAGCATTGTGATGTAGGACATGGCCGTGCGGACAATCTGAAAAGGGGAAGAGTTAATCTATAAGGATTATTTTCTCCTCTAAATAAATATTACCCACCGATGAGAAGGCCTCCATATTGGCCTCAAAAAAGTAACCAGTGATGCGAAAGCCGTGATGGGCCCTCATCATGCTGATCAGCAGGGACCGACAGATCGAGGTGGAGGCTCCTCCAGCACCCAAGCTCTCGTGCCAGGGACTGTCATAGATGGCCCACTCGAAAAGGGCACTCTCCGTCTTCAGATTCTCGCCGCAGTAGCAATAGATGTAGGCCTGAATTATAATGGTGGCTATGAAGGAGGCATAGTACACGCCCTCGGTTTGGGCAAAGGTTATGGAGAAAAGGTAACCCAACATGCACAACTGCAGCGAGGAAATAAAGAACTGGGCACAGATAATGGGTTGGTAGCAGAGATTCAGGTCATTGCACATATCCAAGCTGGTCTGGTACAAGGCAAAGACCTTGTTGAGCGTGGCCTGTGATTTCTCCAGATTTTCACCCTTGAACCTCACTACCTTGTACTGGGCAATCTTGAAGAAGGCGCACAGGTTGCTGGTGAAGGAGCAGAAGATGGTGTCCAGGCTAACAGCCGGCAGGACCACACCAGTCGAGGCAAAGGCACTCCAAACGAAGCTGAGGGCATAGTTGCGAAGGATGTGAATGTCCCAGGGAAAACTAAAAATAGAACAACTATAAAATATATAAAATATTTTTAAATATAGTTCTTATAACCCACAGACAGGGAAAGGGCAGCTCTGGCTCAGCATGTCCTGCCAGCCAATAGCTGAGACCCATTCGCACAAAAGGCAGGACACTGTTCAAGGCCCAGGCCAGTAGGAAACAGGTTCTGAATATGCTGCACATACGCTGATCCTGTTTATTGGCCTCATTGATGATATCCGCATACTCCCCGCCCTGTTCCGCCTCTACAAAAAAGAAAATTAATCCTTAAAGCTAATGACACAAGGAGATTGAGTTTAAATCCGAACCCACCATTGCCCATCAGCAAGCGAAACTTTACAATTAAGCGCCTGAAATCCTTGCGCAAGTAGAGAATCATGCTGAACTTGAAGAGTCCCAGAATGGTGATCAGAAGGGCTACCATGGCATCCGCCAGCAGCATCACATTCTTCCAGTTATGGATCACGGCTGCCAGGATAAAGGGAAAGATGGCCGCTATGCCAAACACATTAATGGCCCTGTAGGGACGCTTCCACATTTCCTGCTTGTCGCTGAACAAATCGAATCCCAGCAGGGCAATGGTGCTCTTTTGGACTTGCAAGAAATTCTCCATGTCGTCTGTTTTTAAATCGGTCTCAAACTAAGCACGAAATCCTGGGACAAGGGGTTTTTAAAAGGATTACCATGACTTGGAGAGGGATTTTAAGAAGCGAATGTTTAGATACCCTAAGTCCCCAATTAATTAGACTGGAACTGTAAAACCTATACGTTAAATATGACTGCCAACTTCTGCTCCCAGCGGATATTCCTTTTGAAAGACTATAATTACAGGTCAGGCACCTGGTACCTCCTCCACTTGACACCTCTTCAACAAGCATACCGAATGACAATCAAATTATAATGCTTTAAATGTTCTTTATTGACGAATTGACATCCGTGGGAGTCCGCTTGGCCTGAGCACACAGCACATCAAAGGCGTGGTCAGGCGATGACAGCTCGGCTGGATATCCGGTGGAAGTAGTGACAGCTTATCGGCCATATCCCCATCCACCCCAGCCGCCACGTCCGTAGCCACCCCAGCCGCCACGTCCGTAGCCACCCCAGCCGCCATGGTGATGATGTCCCCCCCAGCCGCCGCCACGTCCATATCCTCCCCATCCTCCATATCCTCCATATCCTCCCCATCCTCTGGCCTCTCGGGCTCCATCGTTGGCATGATTAGCTCCCTGATCGGCGACATCCAGGAGTCCAATCACCTGCTCGTTGTCCGGCTGGGCATCGTCCGCAGCGTAGGCATAGGCCAGGCAGAGGACGGCGATGAGGGCCACCAATGTTAGACGCATCTTTAGATTTGGATTTCGATTCGATTGATTGCTGGAGAAGATCTGAGTGCAACTGATATTTGGTGGTTACGGCCAGGGGCCTTTTATTTAAATCCGAGAGCCATGAGTCGTCACCGACGTTCCTGTTCTCGTACGCATCAATAAGCCAAGCTCATCTGCCTCTCCTGCGCTCCCTGCACCCCGCCTAGCTCACCTGCGGCCACTTTTGTTAACAAATATACCTGCCAAAGGTGCGATTGCACTCGTGTTTGTTCGTTTGTGTGACTGTTTAGGGGCTTTTTCGACCAGGTTTCTGGCTGTGCCTCTGCCATGTCGTTATATATTTCACCACACAATTATTACACTCTTTGTTGTTCTGTCAGTCTGCCTTCTAATTTTGTATATTTTTTTTTTTTTTGGTTATTTTTTGCTGTCATTACTGAATCATTTCAAATTTAAATGTCTCATTTCGCGAAAGTTGTCGGGATGCTGCTCCTAAGTGGATTCATACATAGATCATTCGATTAGCCTAAACAATTGGGACCAGTTTTGGGGTTTTACGATTCATTTTTTGACTGGGGCCCAGAACTGCCAGATTAACGTCAAACCGATGACCCATTAGAAACTTTCCACTTGTCAACTAAGCTGTAATTAAACGCAAAATAGTAGTAACTAACATATGTATATAGTTTTTAGAGTTTTACTTGCAAATCGACATTGAGGAGCACCCCCAGAAGTCAATCATATTTATATTTGGTTTAACTTTATTATTTCTATATCTGGTTTACCCAACCAAGGAAAGCATCGTTGAGAAATTACACCTCAAGTGTTCACCAACTATTAATAACTATATTCTAATCAAAATAAACCCACTTTAAGTAAGTCAAATGGCTTAATTAATCGCCACTGCCATGAATATTTAATAAGGATTCATATGGAAATGAGCTCCCGATTGTTTAATGAATGTCAAGAGCAACTTGTGTGCTCTAGACTCGAAAAAAGTAAACACTCAGGGGATTTACGAGTCTAAGGCATTGAACCTGAGCTGTCAATACAAGTTCCTCCGAATATCCCAGGCGTCGTTTGATATTTTGCTAAAAATCAAATAAAAACAATAATTGACCCGTGTGAGTGTGCGAAAAAAACACGCCCCCTAATATATGGTTTATAATTATTTGGATAAACTTGAGTTCCCCCCGATTTGAATAAGCAAAACTTGAGCTTTGGGTTCTCGAAAGCTGAAGCTTTTATATTTATTTAATTATTTTTAGGTTTGTGAGAGTTATCGTATCCTAATAGGGCTCGTGATTTTGTTGAAAATTCATTTATAAATGCTAGGAAGAGCAAAGGTATTTCTTAGATATTAAATTAAAAAGAACCTATTTATTTACAAGTTCTTTAATTATTTTAAAAACCACATTCAGCAATTATAATATTATTTACCAATCATATTCAATTTGTAAAATCAATAAAGTCAATTTTAAACCAAATTAAATATATTAAAAAGATCTATTTGTCTTTTTTTTTACTATATAAAGAGCAAGTTAATTAATGTTAATCTTAATCCAAGATTTTAATAGTCAACATATAATATAAAATAATTTCCTTACCTTAATGCGTTCTTAAGTTCAAAAACAAACTGACATATTTTGTTAAATGCCCTTAAAAAAAGACAGACATTAAGTGTTTCTTGTTTTTCAATGCTCTTTTATTTCAAAATATTTCAAATCGTGAAATACAATTTGTCAAATTAAATTTTATAGCTGAAGACTAGCTAATGATAATATTTGTGCCCATGGTGGTGTCTATAGTGGTGTCCATGGTGGTGTCTATAGTGGTGTCCATGGTGGTGTCCTCGGTAGTGTCCATGTCTATATCCTCGTGCCTCACGCACTCCAGCCTCGGCATGGGCCTCTCCCTGATCGGCCACGCCCAGCAGGTCCTTCAGATTGGCTCCATTATCCTCCAGGGCAAAGGCACAGGCCAGACCCAATAGAACAACGACAGACAGCAGGATCAAACGCATCTTGTGGATATAGATTTCGAGTATTGAAGTAGCTTGAAGGAGCTTGCTTAAACTCAGGAAGCGACTGTCTAACAAGAGACTACCACTAGTAACTGCACTTTAACTGATATTCAGAGCCACCTTTTATACCCCACAGAGTGCCATTTTCCGTCAATTAATTAAAATTGTGCCCTTACCCAATAACTATTCCACATTGCTTGCTAATAACAAAAAATTTACATGTATAAGCAGAGCAACCACAATCAAAACAAGTTAATTTTAGTTAATATTTAAAATATATAATAATCATTTTAGTAAGTCTTTTACTACAGTTAAAGCTAGGGTCGTTTTGTGTTATTTAATGTCTTATTATACTTTTGTAAGTCAGTCATTAATTTTGCGTTATAGCGCTTCTTGAGTGAATTTCCAAATTGATTTTATCCAAAACAAAAACAAGAAAGGACGCTAACTTCGGCACGCCGCACAGTAGCGCCTTTTCTCATTTTACGTTGCAAAAATCATAACTTCTGAACAAAATAAGATAACTAAATAATTTAAACGCCATTTGATTGTTAATTGTTGTAAAATTTACATATGTATTGGAAAATCTGCCACGCCCACTCATTCGCCTTTTTAAAGGGTATCAAAGTAAAGAAATATTTTTTTCTCAATGAAGACAATTTTTTAAAAATATTTTTTATTTAATTTTTTATCTTTATTTTTATGTATTTGCTCAGATAAAAATAATTTGAAAACTGAAAAAATTTTTTTTTTTATTTAAACGTGTAACCGACACGCGCTACAGTTAGTATATTTTATGGTTAGTATGAAGCTGAGTCGGTATTTTGGTATATTTAACCCTGAGTAGTTTTGGTTTATGCTGTTGCATTTCCGGGGACGCAGCTCGACGCAGCAGATGTAAGTTGATTTTGGTCCAGAATAGATCCACAAAGGTCGTAGTTATAGTGTGTATAGTGGCTCAGCCCATCCAAAAAAGATATAGACTACTTTAGCCAAAAAAAGTGAAAAAAATGGACACCTGGCAGGTAGCGATTTACCTGTGCAAGCCCTAACCCAATTCTCCTTTTTTTTTGGATTGGGTTATAGTTTATGAATGTGTCTATTATTTAAAGCAAAAATCATGGCGATAGGTAATATAGGTTTTGTGTAATTTTACCTGAAAGTCAACAAATTTTTCCTTTTTTTTTCTTATGATGCAAAAATGGAAACAAAGTTCAACTTTGAATGCTCATATCTTCTACAAAAAAATCCGAAAATTGATTTTACAGCAGATTCTGAATCCATGGGAAATTTCCTGTCGAATAAGTATGGTTAAAATCATTTTTGTGACAACGACTTTTTCGATTTTTGCAACGGCTTTTGTTCGAGAGGCGCTACTGTGCGCCGAGCAGATTGGTTTTGATGTTTATATTATAGATTTAAATGCTGAAAACACTCACAAAACAGTTTCATTACATTTTACCTATGTATACTTATTATGTTTACAGTTTGACAGTTACAGTTTTACATTCCCAGCTTTATATATTTTATACATCTACCGATCGCTTCTATGGCCGCTATAAGATATAGCTGTCCGATTTTTATGAAATTTATACCAAAATTCTAGAATAATAAAAAAATCGTATATCTCAGAGTAAATAAAAATGCGTTGAAAAACAACGAAGCTATAATTTTATTTCTATTAATTTCCCGATCGTTCCTATGGCAGCTAAATCATATAGTCGTCCGATTTCCATACAATTTTTACCAAAATTTTGAAATAATATAAAATGGCCATATCTAAAAAAATTATGCAAAAATATTTAAAAAAACAGCAAAGTTATAATTATTTTTCTAAAAATTTATCGAACATTTGTATGGCAGCTATATGATATAGTCGTCCGTTGCGACATACATATATAGCAGTGAGAGCATATAGAAGACTATATGCAAAGTTTCATTCAGATAGCTTTAAAACTGAGGGACTAGTTTGCGTAGAAACAGACAGACGGACAGATGGACAGACGGACAGACGTACATGGCTAGATCGACTCGGCTGTTGATGCTGATCAAGAATATATATAGTTTATAGGGTCGGAAACGTCTCCTTCACTGCGTTGCAAACTTCTGACTGAAATTATAATACCCTGCAAGGGTATAATAATGCGAAAAATACGCCCCCTAATTTATGGTTTATAATTATTTGAATAAGCTTGACTTCCACCCGATATGAATAAACAAAGCTTGCGCTTTGGGTTCTCGTAAGCTGAAGCTTTTATATTTATTAAATTATTATTTATTATTATTATTTCTAGGTCGATGAAAAGCTCGTCTGCTAATCAGGCTCTTGGCTTTATTTACAATTCATTTTTAAATGCTCTGAAAAGCAAAGGCATTTCTTAGAAATTTCATTAAAAAGAAGCAATTTATTTACAAGTATTTTAATTAAAGAAACTATTCTAAATTCTGTATTTGAATCCGTTTTTAAATTTCAGCAATTATAAAATTATTTACCAATAACTTTCAATCTACTTCATTTCATAATTATACTTCTTGGTTTTGATATGTGTGTTTCTAACTTAAAAAACATTACTTAGAAATATTAAAAAAATGTCTTAAGAACTTTAATTAAAAATTAAAAGAATGTTAAAAAACAAGTAACATTTAATGTTAGTCTTATTAAATGTTACTTGTTTTTTAACATTCCTTTATTTTAAAAATGTCAAATCATAAAACACGATCTGCCAATAAAAGTTCAGAGCTGTAGACTAGCCACGATATCTGTCTCCCCGGTGGTGTCCACCGTAGCGTCCACCGCGGCGTCCACCACCACGTCCATGTCGGCCTCCATGTCTATATCCTCGTGCCTCACGCACTTCAGCCTCGGCGTGGGCATCTCCCTGATCGGTCACGCCCAGCAGATCCCTCAGATTGGCTCCATTATTTTCCAAGGCAAATGTGCAGGCCAGACCCAGAAGAACAACGACAGACAGCAGGATCAAACGCATCTTGTGGATATAGATTTTCAAAATTGAAGTAGTAAAGGTTGATTCTTAGTTCTGTGGATCTCCCGAAAAAGTCAGGAAGCGAATCTCTAACAAGAGATTACCACCAGACTTGAACTGCTGTTACACTCCAACTGATATTTCGAGCCAGCTTTTATACCCCACAAAGTGTAATTTTCCGCCAATTAATTAAAATGTACATATGTGCCCTTACCTATTCCACATTGCTGATGATGAACCACCTGTAAACCCTGTGCCGAAAACCCCAATATACTTTTATACTGCAGTGTTTTTGGGTGAATTTCCAAATTGGTTTTTGCCAAAATAAAAATAACAACATATGTAAACCCCCTTTAAGTGAGCCTTTAGCCTTCAGGCTTAAATTATCGTTATTGTCATAAATATTTAATAAGGATTCATATGAAAATAACTCCCAATTGTTTAATAAATTTCAAGAACAACTTGTCTGCTCTAGATTAAAAAAAAAGTAAACTACCTGGGGATTTACTAAGGCATTGAACCTGAGCTTTCATTACAGGTTCTTCCGTATATCCCAGGCGTTGTTTGATATTTTGATAAAAAATAAATAAAACCTTTAATTTCCTCGCGTGTCTGTCGCGAAAAAAACACGCCCCCTAATATATGTTTTATAATTATTTGAATAAACTTGAGTTCCACCCTATTTGAATAAACAAAGCTTGAGCTTCGAGTTATCGAAAGTTAAAGCTCTTTTTTTTATTTAATTATTAATTATTCAAAGATCTGCAAGAGGGCTCGCCTTCTATTCAGGCTGTTGGTTTTGTTTATAATTAATTTTAAAATGCTGACAAAAGCAAAGGTATTTCTTAGAAATTATATTAAAAAGAAGATCTTTCTTTGCAGGTTTTTTAATTTTAAAAACTAGAAATATAGAAATATGACTCATATTAAAAAAAAAACCTTTACAAATTTAAACAAAAACATTTTTTTTTTTCTATTTATAGTTTTATTTCAAAAATATCAAATCATCAAATAGAATCTGGCAAATAGAAGTTGATAGCTGTAAATTAGCCATGATAATATCCGTGTCCACCGCCGTGTCCGCCGTGGTGTCCACCGTAGTGTCCACCGCCATAGTGACCACCGCGTCCGCCTCCATAATGTCCATGTCCATATCCTCGTGCCTCACGCAGTCCAGCCTCGGCGTGGGTCTCTCCCTGATCGGCCACGCCCAGCAGATCCCTCAGATTGGCTCCATTATCCTCCAGGGCAAAGGCACAGGCCAGTCCCAAAAGAACGACGACGGACAGCAGGATTAGACGCATCTTGTAGATATAAATTTAAGTTATTGACGTAGCTTGAGAGCTTCAGAGCTTGATTCTTGGTTCTTGGCAGAGAACGACTGTGGATCTCCCGAAAAATCCCGGGCCTTTTATTTGGCCAACGAGCGTCATTCCAGTTTCTTGTTTACTATTTGGGAATAGACTTGTTTACGCTGCACAAAATTTAATGTTTCCCATGAAATTTGAAGGCAATAACAAATGAAGCGGCTATTGTTATGTGGTTTTTTGAATTTGACATTAAAAAAGCTTCCTTAAGCTTTGTTTTTTTGTCAACTAAATTGCGCTTTAGTTTTCACCTGAGAGCTTTTTAGAGAACTTGAACACAAAGCTGCTGATACTGTGGGAATCGTTTTATTCAAAAAGTTGTAGCTGTAGCTTTTGGGGAAGCGACTGTCTACCACCAGTAGCTGGAACCGCTGCTCCAGGGCTGGTAGGAGACTCTCCAGCTCCCGCCCCAGCCTCCGCTGTGTCCTCCTCCCCATCCTCCACCCCATCCCCGGTTCCAGCCACCTCCCCATCCGCCGATGCCTCCCCATCCTCCCCAGAGCCAGCGGCGAGATCTCGTTGCCTCCCCCTCTTGTGGCTGATCAGCTCCCAGATCGGCCATATCCTCCAGTTGGTTGGCAGGAGCTGCTTCCTCACCAACAGGCTGGGCGTTAGCAGCCCCCAGAACTGCAACAAACACCAAGAGATAGAGGAGCTTCATCTTGGCCAGATGCTTTAAAGGTTACTACTCTTCAACTGATATTCTGTGCCGCCTTTTATACTTTACAAGAATCCGTTTTCCGCCCACTAATTAGAATTGATGTGCAACTTGCAGACGAGTAGAAGCAAAGCCCTGACCCAACAAGTTTTCCACATTGCTAACAAATAACAATAAATTTATTAAGCACAATTTACATGGATTAGCAGAGTAACAACATTAAAAACTATAAAAAGTTGGTCTATAAAAAGCAGAGAAATAAATGTGTAATTATGGGAATACACAAATGGTTAGATTAGTTCAAGTTTCAAATTAAAACAAATAACAAAAAAACGTAAAAACAGCAACACATTTAGTTTTATCAAACAATAACAACAATTTTTTAATAACAAATAACATTATTTATAATTATTTGTGATAGAGAAACAAATCTAGCAAAAAAAAAGAAAAAAAATATATATTCCATTTTTTTGTTAAGTGTTGAAAAATATTTTGTTTTGATGATTAAAAAATCCATCTTGCTGTACTATTTTCTCATCAAAGTAATTTCAATAATAAAATTTGTAAGCTGAATATATTTACTACTCAATGAAAGGTAAGAATGATAAGTTTTTTCAGTGATAAAGTCTTCTTATAAATAAAATAACTGTGACTTATTACCAATAAAAATTGAATATGAAAAAAGTTATGTGAGACGAGCCTCGTTAATACTGACATATTTATGGCCTAGCCCAGCAAGCCGAGTAAACCGCTCAGTGCTTGGGTATTACCGCCCACGCCGGACGCACCAGTGCCGCCTCCAGCGCCTCCATTAGCCAGCAGGGGACGCAGACTGCTTCCTAGGGCCTGGCCCAGAAGACCCGCTAACTGGGCTGCCTGGGCTTGGGATAATTGTTGATTACCAGCTCCTGCTCCCACTCCCACTCCCGAGCCCACTCCCAAACCAGAGGTTGAGGGATTGTAGGCAGGAGAGCTGGAAATGCTGGCCGTGCTGCCGTATCCTCCCCCGTAAGAGGGATAACTGGACGTAGAAGCGGCACTATAGCTTGGTCTGTATCCATAGTAAGGCTGTGGTCTCTGGTATCCTCCGTAGTTGCCAGGATATGGCTGGGGTCTCTGGTATCCATTGTAGTTATAACTGGGTCTGTACGGATTATAGCCATATCCATAGCCCGGGTAAGCATAGTTATAGCCATAATTGGGATACCCATATCCATAGTTGGGTCTGTAGCCATAGCTGGGATAACTGCTGCCATAATACGAGTCCAAAGGATCCGATTGGGCTCCTCCTCCAGCTGCGGCTGAAGATGAGCCACCTGAAGGCCTAATGGGTGCAGCCACGGGATAATCGAAGAGCGGACCACCACCACCGCCTAGCAGGAGGGGTGTCAGGAGGCCCAGAGTCCTGCCCTGCGGCCGATCCTCGCGGGATTTACTCTTCTGCCCGAGGGCCGCCGTCGAAAGGAGGAGACTCAGCAGAGCCAAGCGCGCGGGTAGATACATTACGGAAGACTGAAGACTGGCCGAAAAACCCAATATAGTTTTATACCGCAGAGTTCTTGGGTGAATTTCCAAATTGGTTTTTTGCCAAACTGAAAATAACAACCAAGAAGACCTTCGCCGGCGCCAAATTCAAATAAAAATCGCAGGCCGAGCGGAACAAAAACCAGAACGTCATCAACTGGTTGGCTCCACGCCGTGCTTTCACGCCCAGTTTGCGAGTCGAGATCGTCGTCTTAACTTGGCCCAAGCTACACCCGACATTGACCTTGCCGAAAGTTGGCCAAATAAGTCAGTCAATCTGTTTCACACCGTTAACTCGATCGCTAACTTCCGCGGGTTTTTTTTTGGCTTAGTCTTTGGGCTTGTTGTTTCATTCAATAAAAATATCGCCAATATCTGGGGGCGTTTCTGCAAAGCCTAATATTTGCTTAGTACGGATATAATAATAGTTTGTCAATAGCCAAGTTAATTAGCGCCTGGAGATCTATTCACCCCTGAAAAGCAGCTGCATTCCACTCGATCTTTGCTTGGCCAATTCTGAATCATCTTATACGTATAAGAGAGCAGGTTCCCCAGAGATTCCCATGTGTTACCAGGGCCTCCCAGACCCCTTTGAATTATAATATTCGCACTAATTGAAGACCGTTTCACCAGACATGGAAATCTTTGGTTTTTAATTTGATTAAAACCGGCTAGACATTGGCCAGTTAGTCAATCAAATTTGGCAAATTAATCAAAGCATGTATAAAAAAAAAAAAATATTATTAAAGATATAATTTTATGGGGTAAAAATGGGAATGCTGGTGAAATAGTACTTAAACGTGGGAGTTTTCTTAAATATTAAAGATATATAAATACTAAAGCAAATAATTCTTTAAAATAATTTAATTAAATCCTTATCTCAAGATTCTCCTAATTTCTTTAAATTATTAAAGATCCTCAAACATTTCCACGGATTCTATTTAAGCTTTAGGAGGGATTCTAAAAATCATTAGAAATATTTTAGTTCTATGACATTTAAGTTATTTTACTAAGAAATACCTCTTTATCATTCATTATAACACAAGACATCTGACAGTTAATGCATACCATTTGCCAGCTTAATTAACAATTACTACTATTTACTACAATAAAAGGGCGTAATGTATTTTTGTAATGTCGAAAACAATATTTAAAACCGGTTAAGACCCATTGCTTTGATATAAGATTTCTTTTTAATGAAATTTGTTACGTTTATTTCGTTTTATTCGTTCATCTGTCGATAATCATTTTGGTTTTGCGTTTATTATTTTGATTTTTTTGAATGACTTGAAAGCCGGGCAGTAAACGGGTTTGACTTTCTCACATGATTTTTTATCTTTACTCCCAAACAGAACCCTCACTGCGGTTTGTAATTACCGTGCTTCCCCCAAAGCTATAAAAAACAGACACCAATCTCTGGGCTAATAAAGTAAAATCCCTATCGTAGTGTGCAGTTTATTTACGGCGCAAAATTTGTCTTTCTTCGGGTCAGTGATCACTAAATAGCGGTTGACCATGGAATTCGATGGGACTTAGAAGTGGGATAAAGTAAACCCCCAGTCTGGGGGCCCGTCTTAAATGTCGTAGACCTGCAGAAATAAAGGAACATTAAGAAGATATTTAAAGTTTGTTTAATTAACTAAAAGAATATATTTTAAATAAAAAATATGATAGCAGCAGATTAATTGATTATTTTGCCTAATATAAAATTTACAAAATTATTTTTTGTTTAAAACATAAAATTAAAATATTAATATGTTTTGATAAATTGTTTTATGAAATATTTATACAAGTTCTTAAGTATAATAAATATGCTTACTTTAAGGTTTTTATATTATCACAATCGTATTGAAAATTCTTCTCACTGTTCCCTTTTTTTCTTCAAATAACTTTTTATTTACAAAAAATCCTAGAAAATAATTTCGGGGTGTTTTTAAGGTATCAATTGACGCGTCTGGGATTTCCGTTGACCTCAGGCTTTTGGTGAAGTCATCATCATGGGATAATTGCCTGGCGGCAGTAACTAATGATGCTTGGATCTAGCCAGACTTACTCTCACATCGTCTCCAGAACACTGGCTCTTCAGGCGGGACCTCCCCGGATAGTATCAAAGGTATATAAGATCGCAGTTTTGATCGTTTTGGAGCTAGAAAGTATTTGACTGTCCAATATGAAGCTATTTGTACTGATTGTCGTCGTCTTTGCTGCGATCTTAGCGCTGGCCATCGCTCACCCCGTCCAGGAGGAACCACATCAGCTGACCCTGGAGGATGCCGAGGCGCAGCCGGGAACCGATGAAGGAGCCGGTGTGAGGGCAGCTCGTCACTTTGGAGGCGGTTGGGGCCGTGGGCGTGGAATCTGTTGTGGCGGCGGAGGCGGTGGCTATCGTCCTGGCGGTTTCGGTGGATTTGGGGGCTATCCCGGCGGCGGAGGCTTCGGCGGTTTTGGAGGATCCAGTGCCTCTGCCTCAGCTTCAGCATCATCTAGCTCCTGGGGACGTTAATCTCTATAATTTGTTTGACTTTGAATAAAGCCAAAAATAGATGGAGATAAAAACAAAAACAGAGTTTAATTCGAGCGTTAATCGAAGGGGTTTTAAGGGTGTAAGGGGCGTGGTAGATAGCTTACGCACTTCACCAGATATAACCAATTCATTCATACTACGCAGGCAATGGAAACCGGTCGCCAAACGCTAATCGATGAGTGACAACCAAAACACAGTCGAAATTCTATTTTTTCCCACAATTGCGAAATCTTCCAGAGTAAAGATTCCACTAGAAAAAAAGACCATCTGGACCATAAATACCTGGTTATTTATGGTGGTTAATTATTGTGGTTAGTTATTGTGGTTTTGGCCCAAGGCAAGTTGTGCAATCGCTTGTGAATTATATTCGGTACTACCCAAAGGAATCGCTATTTTGGGGATAATGTAACCAGTTTTCGACTAACAAACACACTAATCAATAAATCAATAAAAAGTCGAGCAAGTTCCAGACATCTGGGCATGGATTAGGACAGTGTTTTTTTGTGGTTTTGTTTTCTGCACCCCCGATAAGACCTTGCGATCCAGTATTTTGGTATGGAAAATTACTCGTCCAGGTTCCTGGCACATCAATTCACCAGAACAATCTTATGAATCATAACTTCCAGCGACAAATTTTTACCAGTCTCAATTGAGTAACGAGTTTTCATTTCTATCAATATGATTCAAGTTTACATACATTGCATTACGTAAGTTTGGCGCATTTACAATTATTTATCGCATGGCATTTTCGTTGGCCTCAGCATTGCCATAGCAACCAAGGGGGCAAGGGGGATAGTATCAAGGGTATATAAGGTCGCAGTTTGATCGTTTTGAAAGTAGAATGAAGAGAAGAGTAGAAGATGAAGATCGAACAATTATTCTTATGTATTGTGATAGTAATCATGTACGTCTTTGGCCTGACGTTGGCCTATACCGTGAAGGACGACCAACGACAGCTATCCCTTGAGTTCCTCAAGTACAGTGCGTACGGCCTAAGCCAGATTGCATCACATATATGAGCGCAAAGCTCTGAGCGGCAAAGCGGCCAGGACTCGCGCTCAATAAAATCGCTCCAGCTCGCTGGCTTCACGCAAACTCGACGGCAAACTCACCGCGGTTTCGGAAGCCCATTTTTTGTAGAGATAAGTTTGTTTTAAATGTGGAATCTTACAATAAAAATGGCTTTGTGTAAAGCTACCCCGCCGTCTTTTTTTCTCTCTCTCTCTGTGGGAGTCCAGCAACCGCCAAGCAACAACTGCCCAAAGGAATCGCTATTTTGGGGATAATCAAACCTGTTTTCGAGCAACAAACCCACTAATTAATAATTCAATTAAAGGTCGAGCTAGTTCCAGACACCTGCGCTTGGATTAGAACAGTGTTTTTTGTGGTTTCGTTGCGATCCAGTATTTTGATATGGAAAATTACCTGTCCAGGTTTCTGGTAAGTGCGTCTCCAGGGCTTGACGCTACCCCACAACGATCTTATGAATCACAATCTCCAATTAGCAGCGACAAATATTTTCCACTCTCGATTGTGGGATTCGAGATTCATTTCTGTCAACATGATTCATGTTTACTTCTAAGTTTTCGCATTTACAATTAATTAGCGCCTCCCCCAACAATGCAATTTCAAGATTTGCTTTGTTTTTGCTACATGAAAACACTATCCCGTGATGCTTTCTTTACTTACATAATTTTTGGTATTTAAAGAGTGATTTAATTAATTGTATATAGTCTAAAAATATCCCTAAACCCATTCCTAAAATAAATACTCAAAGTGTTTAATCACGCCGTAGACTCGACTTGGCTGCGGTGCACCGACCTTGTGGTTTTGAAATCTCAAAATAAATTCACAGAGAGAGAAAACATAATAAGGAAAAATAGTAAATAATAAATAAATATATTTAGATATATATGAAAAGATTTGTAAAGTATATTTACATAGTATAATAAAGTATATGTAAAGTATATTTACATATTTTAAAACCCAATTCGAATCAAAGAGAAATGGATTTGGCTACATGGAAATATTTTAGATATATTTGAACGAAGCTAAAGTATCTAAAATATTTATAAAGTAAATTATTATGCTTCAACTTATTTTATTTTGTAGAAGATATTGTGATACTTTTAAGCTAGTAAATAAGCGTAATTTATGTTTAAAATGGTAACTATTTTACCTAAGATTCCCATCTGTTTAACTAGGAAATGCTCATTCCATTTTATATAATTATAAATTTAAACCATCTTTTCCTAAGTATATATAACTTAAGGTTTGCTGTAAAAACTAAAGCCTTTTAGTATTTTGAGTTCATTTTCTTTTTCAGTCACGCTTAGTTTAAAGAATCCCATCTTAATACGTCACAAATATGATACTCAGAATTCCTAATTGATGACCAATTTTATGATGTATTTTTTCAGCATGCTGCGTCCAAGAAGCCAACTCCGAATTGAAAGTGAATCATCCGTATTTCAGTGGCAGTGCCTACCGCAACAAAAAGCAAGAGTCGCAAAAGCCGACAAACGAAAACCGCAGTAATCAAGCCGAGAAATGCCTCCCCCAAAAAGGTGTTAAAAATGTTCAACCCCCCGTTGACGTCACAGACGGAGTCGTGAGCCGTAAGACTGGAATTGGACGCCAAAAATACCTGCCAAAAAGGCTGGACCGACCGCATTGACGGAAATGTTGTGCGGCGCGATCCCTGCTAATTGGACCAAAAGATGCGCGGTAAATTAAATTAGTGTCACTGGAATCTTGGCTGACTGAGCGATGCGGTCTGTCATAACAATTAGCGAGGATTGGGGAATATTCGCGACTATAAAAGCGAACGGCGGATGCCAGTTTAAGCACAGAACCGCAAGGAACTCAGCCAGCAGTGGACACACCAAGCCAGCAAACCAATACAAATTTTATTTAAACTCCACAAACCCACAAAAACCAGGATAAACATGAAGTTCGCCATCTCCTTTGCCATGATCTCTCTGATCTTCAGCCTGAGCCTGCTCGAGGCCGCGCCCATCAATGATCCAGGATTTGTTTCGGCCACGGATTTAACGGGAGAGCCAGTGCGTCAAAAGCGTGCCAGTGTGGATTACTACCAGGGCGACTACTTCATCTGCTACCCAAAGAGCGAGGTGTACGGAAAATCCAGGAATGGGCTTAACAGCAGTGGCTCCAACCGTCGATCCTACGACTCGGAGGCGTACGGCCCGCACTATCTGGCCGATGACTCCTTCGAGGCTCGCAAGGATCGCGCCGATGCAAGACGCGCCGCCTACACTGACAGCTTTGGAAAATAAGTGTCCTACCAGATATATTAATATATAGAAATCTACACAGTTAGGGAAACGCACAGGGGTAGCCTAAAAAGTTATACAAAATATATTCTAATTATTTATTGAACTTACAATTAATAAAAAAATAAAAGAAAAAAATATACTCGTGTTGTTTTTATTAAAAAAGAAACCCTCTAAATACACCACAACCATGATACAATCATGACAGCAACCATCTGGCTAGTAAGTTAAAAAAAACCAAGTTGTATACAATTTCTATTATTATTACTTTTTTTATATTCAAATTGTAACGTTTAAAATACGCCCTCTGGCGGAATTCAAATTGTAACGTTTAAAATACGCCCTCTGGCAGAATAATATGTATTGAAGTCTTATTTGACGTTATTGACGCGGCCCGTCACGGTCACACTAATTGCAAATTTGAGGAATCAACAACATGAATAGCGTGAGTTTACAAACTTAATTTTAAATACAAATAAAACTACATTAAAAGCTCCACAGGATCTCCGAACCAAGATTGAGAACTGCGCCCGCACGGCCGAGGACTTTACGCGGCTCTACTACGCCTCCTTGGACAACCGCCGGCACGTAAGTTCTGGAGCCTCCAAAAACCGGCAACCTTTTGCAACAGCATGCGAAATAACAACAAGCACACCTTTAATTTCCAGCAAATGGGACGCCTTTACATTAACACCGCCGTATTCAGCTGGAACGGAAACGGCGCCACCGGGCGCGAAATGATCGAGCGCTACTTCACCGAACTGCCGTCATCCGCCCACCAAATGACGAATCTGGACGCCCAGCCCATTATGGAGGAGTGTGTGGGCGCGCAGCTGACCTATGTAATCCTGGCCAGCGGTACCGTCAAGTACGGCGATCAGCCGATGCGCAACTTCCAGCAGTCGTTTATCGTGACAGCTGACGGGGACAAGTGGAAGATCGTCTCCGACTGCTACCGCCTGCAGGAGGTGATGGTGTAGTAGTCAAATACTGCACAAACAGGACCATTGTTAGAGTAAAAGTAAGGCTGTCCCACATGTTGATACTACCGAATATATATTAATTACATGGCTAAGTAACCTAAGTAACCAATTAACTTTTTATTTGTCCGACTCGGTTTTGGGTTTCTTGGTGGCCGGCTCATCTGCCGGCAGTTTCTCGGAGAAGATGGCCTTCGGCTGGGTTTGCTTGTAGGCGGGTGCTATCCAGTAGGGATTCTCCGCTGCGTCCTTGGCGTACTTAAGGATGGCTTCCCTGGGATCCTGATCGTCGTCCACACGCTTGCTCAGGCCGAGATTGCGGATGACATACGAGGAAAGAGTGCCGCCGGAGCTGGCCACTCGACCGCCCTGACCGCTGGTGATGGGCAGATCCGGCCGCTTCGACTTGACAGGATCCATGCGCGCCTTCTCCATCTTCTTGCGCGAGGAGCGGGATTTCTCCTGCCTGAACAACGGCAGAGCATGTGGCGTGATGATCTGGGACACGCCCACCATCTCCATCGGCTGTCGCTTGCGGTGGCTCTTCACCACGCACAACTTGGCACCGCGGATGCTGCGATGCTCGTCGTAGTAGCACTTAATGGTTCCATTGCCGCAGCTCACAAAGAGCTGGTTAAGCTTGGGGTGCCACAGTGTCTTGACGATATGCGAGTTGGATACGGGAATGCGTTGGACCTCCTTGTAGCTCCTGGTGCTGTAGAAATACAGATTCGCCTCAGTCTGATCCTTGGGCAACGACTCGCCAGTGACCAGGAGTCGGTCGTCCGGACTGAAGCAACAGTCGGTGGTGTCGTAGCGCGAGAACAGGTTCGTCCAGGTGTGCAGCGGCTGCTTGAACTGCCGCAGATCCCACAGTTTCATGGTTTCGTCATTGCTCCTGGTGGCCAGCTGCTGACCCATGTACGAGAACACAATGGAGGTGATCTCGGAGCCCTTCTGATGCGCTCCCCTGACGCAGTGCGTTGTGTTGACGAACATCTTGCGCGTGTCCCAGGTCTGAATGGATCCATCCACGCATCCCGCTGCAATTAGGGTGGCATCCCGGTTGAAGTTGCACGAAGCCGCATTTGTCCGCAGGCCGCCTTGCGCTCTGGTCTTGATCACCTGGACCTGCTCCTTGGCCTTCAAACCCTGCCAGATGCGCAGAGTTCCGTCCAGAGCCGCGGTGAGGAACTGCTCTCGGTTGAAGGGATGCCAGCAGCCCGAGGTTAGTTGTGCCACGTGCCCCTTGGTCCGCGACATGTCCGATATATACTGATCGCCCTTGCAGCACTCCAGCTTCTCAAAGCCATCGCGATCTAGCACCTTTGCCTGGGCGTTTCCCGAGATTACCAGGATCATGTCGCCGGTCACGGAGTATTGGAGGGAGCGGATCGGATGATTCTCGCAGGGCTGCAGCTGTCGGAAGCTGCGCATGCCGGAGTCCATTCCAGCAAAGTCCCAGAAGCACATGTCGTAGTCTATAGAGCCGGAAACCAAGCGGGCGCCGGAGGGATCGCCAGCCAAGGCCAGGACAGCCCGGGATCCGTGCTGCATCTGCACCTCGTGGGTGTAGGGTATGCGCTTGGCCAGGCTCTGCTCATCATCGGAATCGTCATCTGACAGGGATTCATCATCGGAATCCTCTTTGCCCGCCCCGTCCTTTGTGGATTTGTCCTTTTCCTCTGCAGCAACAGGTGGCAGGGGTCCAATAACGTCTTCTTCCTCATCGTCTGCCTTCTCCTCCGCTTTTTGGCTTGGCTCCTCCTTGTTTCTGTCCAATCCCGGCCGTGTAATCCTGGCCTTTTCTATTTGTTCGTTGATGTCAAACACCTTGGCCGCCTTTCGTCCGAATCCGCTGATGCCCATCACCTCCTTCAGATGCTGGCTCTCCAGATCCTCGGCCACATCCTCGATTTGTCGAATCATCTGTTTTTTGTCCATCTTCTTGAAACCGCCGCCTCCACTGCTGCTGCCGGCTTGAGAGGATTCCTCTTGCTCATCTCCTGCGGTGTTTTCGTTGGCCTTTGGCTCAGCGGGCGCCTTGTTGACATTCAGTTGGATTTTCCCGAAGGAAATTTTACCACGCTGCATGTCTGGGAGAAGCCACTTTTGGCAGTTTTAGTTAAAATAGTTATTTATTTATTTTATCTGCTGCCGCTTAGGGATGGGAGTTCCAGTCAAAACAAAAGAGTTTCGATATTGTATTATTATTTAATATGAATATTTAATAGATATTTTTTATAACGAGTTTTACATTTAAAGAAGTAGAAATTGAATTTTTCATCTATTGTGTTTTAAGTTATTTAAAACCTTGTAAAAACTTCAATTTAGTTTATCGATCTATCGATACTTCCCTTGCCATCGGCCCATCTCTATCGCAGCGTCTAACCTAGAATTGGGCGCGCAGTGTTGTTTTTTGTTGTCGGCATTTTTCGCGTGCGAGTTTTGTGTCGCGAATTGTGGATTATTTCGCAAGGCGGTGTAATTGTTGTTAAATTTATTAAGTTTTTGCTGCATTGAACATCCACGATGACCGACTCCCTGGAGTACAACGACATAAGCGCCGAGGTGCGCGGTGTTATGGTGAGTCTCAAAATTTGCAACTCTCATTTCGCACATTTCGTCTGACGCTGGTTTCCCTTCCCATTTTCGCGCGCCGCAGTCCTCCGGGCGGCTGAAGATGACCGATCAACACATCATCTTCAAGAACACCAAGACCGGCAAGGTGGAGCAGATTGCATCGGATGACATTGATCTGATCAACTCGCAGAAGTTCGTGGGCACCTGGGGCCTGAGGGTGTTCACCAAGAGCGGCGCACTGCACCGCTTTACGGGATTTCGTGACAGCGAGCACGAGAAGCTGGGCAAGTTCATCAAGGATGCGTACAAGCAGGACATGGTCGAGAAGGAGATGTGCGTCAAGGGCTGGAACTGGGGCACCGCTCGCTTCATGGGCTCCGTCCTCAGCTTCGACAAAGAGAGCAAGACAATCTTTGAAGTGCCGCTGTCCCATGTTTCGCAGTGCGTCACGGGCAAGAATGAGGTGACGCTGGAGTTTCATCAGAACGATGATGCGCCCGTGGGTCTGCTCGAGATGCGTTTCCATATTCCCGCCGTGGAGTCGGCGGAGGAGGATCCGGTGGACAAGTTCCATCAGAATGTAATGAGCAAGGCCTCGGTTATATCGGCCTCCGGCGAGTCCATTGCCATATTCCGGGAGATCCAGATCCTCACGCCTCGCGGTCGCTACGACATCAAGATCTTCTCCACCTTCTTCCAGCTGCACGGCAAGACGTTCGACTACAAGATTCCCATGGATTCGGTGCTGCGACTCTTCATGCTGCCGCACAAGGACAGTCGTCAAATGTTTTTCGTGCTCTCCCTGGATCCCCCGATCAAGCAGGGACAGACGCGCTACCATTATCTGGTGCTTCTCTTCGCCCCCGACGAGGAGACCACCATTGAGCTGCCCTTCTCGGAGGCTGAGCTGCGCGACAAGTACGAGGGCAAGCTGGAGAAGGAGCTCTCTGGACCGGTGTACGAGGTGATGGGCAAGGTGATGAAGGTGCTCATAGGACGCAAAATCACAGGACCGGGTAATTTCATTGGACACTCTGGCACGGCGGCAGTGGGCTGCTCCTTCAAGGCCGCAGCTGGCTATCTGTATCCCCTGGAGCGCGGCTTTATCTACATTCACAAGCCACCGCTGCACATTCGGTTCGAGGAGATCAGCTCAGTGAATTTTGCCCGCAGCGGTGGCTCCACCCGCTCCTTTGACTTTGAGGTAACGCTCAAGAACGGAACCGTCCACATTTTCTCGTCCATCGAGAAGGAGGAGTACGCCAAGCTCTTCGACTTCATCACGCAGAAGAAGTTGCATGTGAGCAACATGGGCAAGGACAAGAGCGGCTACAAGGATGTGGACTTTGGCGACTCGGATAACGAGAACGAGCCGGATGCCTATCTGGCACGCCTCAAGGCAGAGGCCAGAGAAAAGGAGGAGGATGACGATGATGGCGATGATTCCGATGAGGAGTCCACGGATGAGGACTTCAAGCCAAACGAGAATGAGTCCGATGTGGCCGAGGAGTACGACAGCAATGTGGAGAGTGATTCGGATGACGATAGCGATGCCAGCGGTGGCGGTGGCGACAGCGATGGCGCCAAAAAGAAGAAGGAAAAGAAGGCCGAAAGGAAGGAGAAGAAGGAAAAGAAGCACAAGGAAAAGGAGCGAACGGTAAGAATGATGCTCGTTTCAGTATTTGCAACGTACTAACATTAATTTTTTTTTTTTCACCAGAAAAAGGCAACCAAGAAGAAGGACACCGGCAAGCCCAAGCGTGCCACTACCGCCTTCATGCTCTGGCTGAACGATACTCGCGAGAGCATCAAGAGGGACAATCCGGGCATCAAGGTCACCGAGATTGCTAAGAAGGGAGGCGAGATGTGGAAGGAGCTGAAGGACAAGTCCAAGTGGGAGGAGATGGCAAACAAGGACAAGCAGCGCTACCAGGAGGAGATGCGCAACTATAAGCCGGAAGCGGGTGGCGACAGCGATAATGAGAAGGGCGGAAAGGCAACCAAGAAGCGAAAGACGGAGTCTTCTCCAACCAAAAAGGCAAATACCTCTGGAGGCAACTTTAAGAGCAAAGAGTACATATCCGATGACGACTCCACCAGCTCTGAAGAGAAGGACAAAGAACCCGCCGAGAAGAAGGGCAAGCCTGAGGATTCTGACAAGGCGAAAAAGAATTCCAAGAAGAGCGAGAGCGAAGCGGAGGAGAGCGAGGAGCCCAGCGACGAGGATGAGGAGGATGATGACGCTGAAGGCAGTGATTAAGGCCCCCAATAACAACACAACATAATTCCATAAACAGCCCACACACCACATCAATGTCCCAATTGTAGTTTACGCCTAGGTTTAGTTAAGTGCTGCCTGTTGGATACAGACCAACACGATTTTGTTTAATTAAAACTCAACAACAAATCGAAAGTTGTAGCAATTATCCCGATTTGATAAGTGCCCCTAATGATTGATGTTTATCGGTTATTTTTTTCGGTTGAACTGCGCTCGTTACGCCCACAATGACGGCATTTTTCAGTCATTAAGCGCTTTTCCGAGTCTGCAGTTATGGCCACGTTGAGGGATCTCTTCCTTTGGATTGGCCTCTGGTACATTTCGCAGGCAAGATCCCAGCTATATATAGTTGTACTGTCACATCCAAAACCCTGTTTACCACCAGGTCCAAGGTATATCCAAGTTCACAAATATCGAGTGCCTAAGCATGGACGAGACTTTCACAAACATTTCCCTGTGCCGACTGTATGCCGTCAAGAGGGATGTGGTGGAAATGAGCCTGAGAGCCCATATTCTCGACTGGCCAAAGCGTCCGGTATCGGTGAGTTGGGAATTAACATTTAGGGAATGTGTTTTCTACTCTATTGGGTTCGTTGGTTGTTTTGAACTTCTTTGTGGTTGATCGCGTTCTTAATTATGCCACAAAAATATGATATAATTTGCTATCCTTTATATATAAACTTTAAAATTTCAATCTACTAAAATGATTATTCATTTTATATTTACGGCTTAAAAAGTCCCAAAAACCTTGTATACATTTTGAATTTACATTGCTTAACAACCACTTAAACGTAGAGTTAAGAAAACCTCAATTGTGAAACACAAAAACCCAAAAATGGATGAGTTACTGTTGGGAGAGCAAACTGCGATTGCGGTTGCCAAGTTGACGATGTTGACGTACATCCTGGCCATCAGGCTCAATTCTTGAAGTGGCTATCAGATCCTCAACATCGTCATAAAGCTTGTTCTTTGGCGTTGTCAGGCTGGATTGCGATGGAAACGAAGCGCCAGAATCTTTTTTGGACAACGTCTTAACCTTGCGCAAAATTTGGCGACGAACGGTTGCCGAGGATGGTTCCGGAGAAATTACGTTTTCGGCCAGCTCATTGAGCGAGCGATTTGAGTGCAGAGCCGGCTGCATATTTTCGGTGTTATCGGCGATGTGCGTGAAACTGGTAAGGGGACTGGAACGAGTGCACACATTGACCCTTGAGGTTTGAACTGAAGTTGAGCTCGCATCAGAGTCCTGGCCCTTTTCTGCACCCTCTCCTCCTGTGGCGCCTGTAATGGTCTCCTGATTATGGGAGACCCCGAGGGCCATGTTCGATTTCGGCCACCAGTGGGAGATAAGGGGCCGCACAAAGGTCCGACCATGGACACACATCTGGGTCAGAGCTTTGAGGGAGTCGTTCAGGAACTTGTACTTGCCTCGGTTAAGGAACTGATCAATCTGATCCTGGCGCTTGGTCAGAAACGGATGAAGGATCGCATCAAATATCCAGACATTTGCTGTTGGAGCGGTCATGACGATCCACAGCATAAAGATCATCTTGATGGGCATATAGATTGCCACCCAAGACAGCAACGCGTCCGCCACCAACTCAATGGTGATCAGAAAGGCGTAGACTATCCAGTACTTGGCCCAGGCCAGGAACTCATCGTCCCCGTTGTTCAGGGTCTTGTAGGTGTGGTAGGCCGGTCCCAGGGTGCCATAGATAAAGAACACCAGACGGGACGCATAACTTAATAGGCACATGTCGATAGTGTTGGCCTAAGCTCCAAACAAAAAACTTGTAACAAAATTTCTCAGTCAACGGGAGAGGTATGTACTGCAGCTATTTGAGACAATCTGTGAATATTTATGTGTGTTCAAAGTAAGTTTACAAACCAGGCCTACTTTCAGGATTTAAGAAAGTTGTTTTTATTTGAGATTATAATTTCTTTTTCCTAATTTAAATTGATTCTTTCCAGATGCGCATGCAATTGCTTAAGAAAGCCAGTGGTTACAAGCCTTTTCTTTACAATGTCTACCAGTCGGATGTATGTGAATATCTGGAGAAGAGGAATCATCCCTTTGTCAATATCATTCTCAACAGCTTTGGCAATCGAACGAATGTGAACAAGTGCCCAGTGCCAGTAAGTTTGGTCTATTAATAATGCCTCTTAAAATTTATAATTATTAAATTTATTTATTAGCCTGAAATTATATTGGAACACTTTCGTTTTCCCGTAAAAGTCTTGGATCTGATGCCCTTGCCCACTGGGGACTACGGGCTATTCACCACCTTCAGTTTCGATCGCAAGGAACGGGCACAGGTTAAGGTGTACTTTACGCTAACAGAATATCGCTAATGAAGCCACAAAAAATGAGTGAGAAATATATATGTAGTATTTGTAATAAACATTGTTGGCAGTGCAATAAACCAATTAATAAATTCGCCATAAATTTATTAACTGGCTGTAAAAGACCTTTCCCGATTTGATTATCCCATTGTAATTGTAATAAAATGATTTCCATTAAAATTATTAATGAGTGCTCTTTACGGGAGTTTAATACTCGTACTTATAGATGGTTCTGACACGTGGGAATTGATTTGAATGAAAGCTTGTGCGGCTCTGGCCGAAGGTTAGGATCATTGGCTTCCGATACAGATCGATTTTTGGCTGAAATTTCTTTCACACACAAACCCAGAGTCCAAGTTATGACCCTGCCCACTGAGCTGAACGCTCATGACATTTCGAATAGGCATTCAAAAAGCCATCAGCATTATTCGGCCGCAAGAAAAGGTTCCCATACCATTCACAGATATGTATATTTCGGCAATTGAAACCGAAACTCAACTCCAACTCCAAATCAATTGTAATTGTGTCTAATAAATGAAATGTTGACGGAAATAACACGGAATATAATAGAGTCTGAGAGAGAGAGAGGGATCGATCGAAGGGGAACATTACGTGTGCGCGTAAGGCGATTGTAAAAGGCAAAAATCACAGTTACCAACAGCTTGCATGCATAATTAATTTGTGGGTCAATTGCAAAAACTTGAACTTCAATTCAAGTGGCTTTGGATCTGGCTCTGGGCCGTGCCACGTCCGAGTGCTTGTGCTTGGGGGGGTGTCATCTTTTGGCACATCTCTCTCCTAGGAAGTAATTTTTTGTGGGATATTCGGATTTGCATAAATGCCGCCAATTAATTTTGTTATGCAAATTAATGACAAACAATTAGCGATGCGAGACAAAGCCGATTTATTAATTGCACATTATTATTATTGTTATTATTTTTTTTGTTTTCCACTAAATATGTAAATTTAAATATTTATTTCGCACTCTGTCGGTGTCGATGCTGTCCGATGGCAATGCGCGCTTTATCGCTGATTAACCCAAATTTAAATGAAGCCTCGAAGCATTCGATCTGAGAAGTGAGAAAAGTCCAGCCAAAGGCTAAGGACCTTTGGTCAGGAGCTAATGACACCGCGATGTGGGTGCAGTCAGCTGATGAAAGTGGCTTGAACCGATAAGAGGGGTCTTGAGATAAAAAAAAATAGAATAAAGGAGTGAAATATATTACTATTTATATTTTTAAATACTTATTTAATTGTATATTTAATATATTTTCCTCTGAATAAAGACTTTACCCACAATCAATTGCTTAGAAACATTATAAATTAAGTCATATATCTTTTGGCCCCTGTTTTTTACTCGATTCCTTAGTCTCAGTTAACACTTAATTGTTTAATCCAATTTAATATTGCTTAATCCAATTGAATACAGGAAATTAATAAGGTAATAAATAAAGGTTAACCAAAATGTTATATATCCCCTTTATGGCTCTAGAATTCGCTTCGACCCCCAACGAGATTTGAGGCCCCAAATCGAACTGAATCGGATTCGCGAACCATCATCGAAATTGAAACAAATTGCTTTACGGCGGGGTGACGAATGCGTCATTTACATTGCGGTTGTTCTTGCGAATCTGTTGAATTTGTCGGATCTTGATCAAGATTAATAGTGTGCTAATTGCATTAAGATTGTGCCAGCATTCCCCAAAAAGCCGCAACACACACGCGTCCGTTCCGGCGCAGCAAGTTCGTTGCTTCAGTCTTTTGTTTTGCATTCTGTTCGCCGCTCGCCATTGGCCATTAATCAGCTGCAACCCTTAGAATCGGCGACTGGGAATCGCTGTAAGTGTTCTGCTCTTATCGGCACACCATTTTGTTCACCAATTTGTAATTACAATGTGGGCCATTGGCCAACAAATTGCTACTGATCGATCCGATCATCGCTTTCTGGCGTCGATCCATGAATCAATTATCACCCTGGCAATGAACTTTCCTAATTGAAGATTAATGGAAGGTCGCACCAGATTGGCAGCTGCTTCTGTAAACTCCCAGAAAATGAATCACAGCGTAAAGATTTCGGATAATCCGATCAGATCACATTCCGCATTTAATCAAGGCAACAAAACAATAGTTCAGTTAGCTACATGGAATCGGATTGCTCATCCTCCGAGGAGTAATGAACTCGGTAATGTGGGACGAGGTAGTTGATGCTGGAAACAGCTTGGCGGTTGTGGAGATTTCTCTGCCTGGGCGTGGACTCCTGGCTAGAAGTGGCGCCCCCATCAATGTCTTCCATGAGAATTCTTAATTCCCGCTTCAACAATTCAGCATTGACCTGGGGCTCACCTCTGTGGCTTTTCCCATTAATACCGTCCAAAAGAAGGCCCAGTTCCCGCTTCAACAATTCAGCATTGACACTGAGTTCACCTATGTGGTGAGTATCCTCTTGATTGGACGTCAAAAAGAACTGGTAAAGTGGCTGACCAAGCGATTTATATCCATGATTAGCCAGATGCTGTTCCAGACTCCGGAGCACTGGCTTTTCAATCAACTGGTATAAGGTCTTGGTGCTGTCCGGATAACTAAACCAGAGAAATACGGCCAGCAGCAGCTTGAGACGTGTGTAGAGCAGGGAGCCGCCAAAGAGGATATCTGTGATGTAGCCCAGTCCCTGGAGCAGCGCAAAGATCACCCAGTACTTGAGCCAGAGGATGATAATGTTACGCTGTCCATTTGCAAAGGCTCTGTAAGTCTGCCAGCCAGGTGTCAAAATTCCAAAATAAATATGTATAAATTGTAACATCGTTCTTAAAGGTGTCGTGTACATTAAAAAAGTATCGAATAATTTTCTGAGGTAAGCTTGGAGTGTGATTGATATGGACAGGCCACTGGGTCTGTCATTAACTATTAAAGATCATAAGCGATAATGTCCCGTGCAAATCTCAATGGTTTCCCACTGAAAATGTTTTATAATGCTTGGGCTTACATTCCGCTGAAATAAAAATTGAAAAACAATCAAATAATTCCTTGTCACTTCCTAGAGTCCGCTTAGAGAGCAATCAAAAAATCTGTGGCCAGGCACTTGGCTTGGAGCGGGCTAAGTGCCTGGGGGGCTTTGCCTGCGGCTTTCGCAAGACCAGGAGCTGCCGGGCCATATGTAAGCGCCTGTCTTTAAGCCAACTTTATGCATATTTATAGATTTGTTTGGCCGACTAACAAACCAAAATAAACCAGAGTGGAAGAGAAAGAAGAGGGGAATGGAGAGATAGAGACCCAGTTTATGGGCCAGATTGAATTAGTGGCACTGGCGGTGCCTTTATGGCCAAAACGGTGCCGTTGGTCCATGGGGCATTCGATATACAGTAGTCGGGTAGACCTGACATAATGGAAATAATAATATAATCGATTCAACTGCAACAATTTTGCTCAACTTGTTCGGCCTGTCTGCCCCTTTAAACCTATAAACATTCCTTAAGTTTTACAGCTTAAATCGGGACTCGCTGAAGCGTTTCATATTCATATTTTTATACCCCCCCTGCGATCGTGATCTGTTTTAAATTTTAAACCCGATTAGTTTGCTTGGTTAGCGGGAGGGTTACATCATTTAAATAATAAACAAAATGTTTGGTTTGACAATTTCGTAAATAAAAATATTTCTCGTTGGCGGATTTTTAGGGTTTCCAAACTACATAGCTCCCAAAGGCAGCGCCAAACTAGCGTGAAATGTTGAAAATTATGCAAATTTTTTATGGCTTTTCTTTGTTTATTTTTGTAGAAATTTTGGGGGGGAAGAGCAGACAGCCCCATACATAAATATCGAATCCAGTTGGGATGGACTTTTAAATGGTTTTTGTTTCGTTTTTTTTTATGTTTCTTTTTGTGCTTTTTATGTATCATTTGTGTACGTTGACGCCTCGTTAAGTCTTGCCATATAACTGAGTGGGATCGGGGGATAACAAGCTGGATCCGTTGATCTGTTAACCTCTTTATCGGCGATACACACCATACCTCAGCTCAGCTGCGGTTGCCCAACACTTTATCTTTCTCCACCTCTTCTTCTTTTTTGGGGCTTTGGACTTTCGGCTTGTTATCGATGCGGGCAGATTGACATTGACCCTTTGACTTGACGTGGATAAATGGCATGGGTATGGGTTTGGGATTGGGTGGAGAACCCCTTTGGGATTTGATTAAGCGACAAACTCGCTGGGATTACATTTCCACCCATGACCTTCTGTCTTTGTAATCTCCTAACAAGCCCTTTTCATACTTGGTCATCAGTTTCACTTAATAATCTTTGTCAGACCCTGTATTTATTGTTCCACCCGTTCGAACGACTCATCAATGTCTTGCCAGACAAAGCAAAAATCTCGTTCTGGGGTTCAACAATTCTCAACTCCCCACTCACAACGAGAACAATTGGCTAAAAGTCAAAGGGAAAATGTGTCAAATAATATTTTATGCATTCGAAATAAACTCAAACTCAAATGCAATGCACTGCAGCCTGGCCAGGCGGTGAGAAAGGCAAGTCTTGGCCAATAAACACAACAAATTTAAGGTAATGTAAACAAATGCAAGGTAATTAACACGAAATCCGCATAAAAGTAATGAGTTCAATTGCCAAAACGAAACCTGTTAGCCGATCGACGATCCACCGAGGAGGTGGAGGTGGAGGAGGAGTTGAGCTTAAGGTGGAATTCACAGCTCATTAATAGATGGATATCTCTGGGTCTCCAGTTAAATGTCGCCTGAAATGTCGCACTTTGAGATGCACACAGATAGGGGATCTGGATCTGCACGGCTGTCAGTGAATGCAAATGAGCCAAGTTTGTGGGTGGACGATGTCTCTCGAGAGATCTCCATCTCGTGCACCTCCGTTGAGTCATCAGAGATCGGTTCATTGCCGTTTCACCCACAAAAAAAAAGCATTTGATTATCCTGTTGCCTCAGCTGCTGCCGGACTTACGTGTGGGGGGCTGTCAAGTTCTCAGGTTCACTGTGCCTGCGTTTTACTCGTAACTCGACTCATTGAGAGATCTTCACATCGATCTCGCGACGTGTGACAATTCCCTTTTTAAGTGGCCCACTTTGAATGGCATTGTTTTTTATATGCCCCATATATGCATATAATATATTCACGTGGGAGTCGAATGAGCTTTTATCACAGCTACCCTCTGTCATTGAACTTGGTCTGCCTAACACCTTTGAAAGAATGCTTTTTGTTCGCTTTAACTCGATTGTTATTTGGGGAAGTGGCTTGAATGTACTTTGTGGGTTAGATTGTTGAAAAGCATTTTCAGTTGAAACCTTCAAAATACTTCTGATCATTTGAATGGGATTTATTTCGGTTAATATCATAGATTCTTTGTTGGATTAGTTTCAGCTGGGACTCTTAGGAATCTTTTACGGATCCTTCTGTAGTAAGAATCACCTTTTAAACATTTTCTGGCAAATTAAATAATCTATAGAAAAATTCTGATAATAACACTCTCCCAAGCTAATGATCTTTCCAAATTGATCTATCAGTATGTTAACCGTTAAGGCGTACATCACGATTGTTTGCGAAATAATTTGTTCTGTTGCCGGTTTCCTGTACTAAGTGTCAGGGATGTCAATGCCCAAATGACACCTTCTTAATTAATTTTACATTTGATTCGCCAATTAAGCAATGTCAAATGTTTCGGTTCAGCACTGGGAAGATTCCCCCGCCGAGATTAATCGAAGTGAATTTTTACAACATTAATCAGGCGGTTGGATTATACTCAAAAAGTCATTCAACGCAGACAGAGAGCTATAGCGACAGACTCACTCGCTTTTCGACTCATAAAAACCAGCTCAAAAGCTGGCTCAAAACCGAAGCTCAAACTATGGAACGAAAAATGCAAGTGTTTTATGTTTTCGCTTTCGTTGGGCGAGCTTTCAAGGCTTTTGGCTTGGCTTTGGGCCCGCAGATATTGCGTCTAGTAATTTGGCCCAAAGCTCTCTGAAGACCGCTCTCCGCCGTCGATCGCTAGCTTAGCTAGTGCCGTCCCGCTTCCACCGTCAGCTTTGGGTCGGCTTTGGACTCCGTCGAGCGGGCCAAGCGAGCGTTAACTTCAGTGTGCGCCGACCTGTTTCCGTAGACGGCCACAAAAAACAAAAACAGTCAAAGACATAGCCACCGATCGTGTGATCTTTTCGATTTCGATTTCGATTACGAACCGAGCAACGGTCACGCCGATCGCTCCAGCAAGGAGCCTGAGCCCCCGGACGAAACTCCTCCACAGATCATAAAATTCTATCTCAGTGCAGTGACAAGATCGTCGTGACGTCAACGGAGTGCAATTCCCCGAGTCGCAGCAGCAAAAACAATGCTCAATTTGCAATCTCTCTCTGTCTTTACCCCGTTTTCGTAATCGCATCGTGCAAAAATTAAAAAAATAAAAGAAAAAAATAATAAAAAAAAGGGGAGAAAAAATTATTTAAAAAAAAGTGAATCTGCCCGTTTCCAGAGTTAACTTCACCGCCGTCCCGCTCGCACTTGGTATTCCGTATAATTCGTACCGCCGACGTCTCAGTCGCCGTTGGCGTCGCCGTCGCCGCGCTGGTTATTGTTTATGTTTTTTGTGTTCTGAGCCGCCGCTGCATCCCGCCTGCACCCCACCCCTGCCCCAGAGAGCGGGGAAGTAATAATAAAAGCAATGCGATCGCAATGAAACGAAATTGAGTGAAAAATACAATTTCGTTTACAAAAAAAAAAGAAATATATATATGCAAAAAAAAAAGTAAAGAATAAATACAACAAAAAGATAAAGTAAAAAGAATAATATAAGCAAATAAGAAGAAAAAAATTCACTGCCAAGCAAATTTCACGCCGTATTTAATCTTTGCTCACTGACCGCCTCCAGCTTAATCGCTGCTCGTCTTTCTTTCCGTTCCGTTCGTGTTCGTGTGTGTTCCGTGCTCCGGCTCCGGATATAGCAACGATCCGATCAGATCAGATCCGATACGAATTCGATCTTCTCGAGTCTCCACCATCAACCCCGGGGCTGTGTGTTCTGAAGATCGCCGCGCGTTTGGCCTACGATCTTAGCCATCGAATGCTATCGTCGTTGCCGTTAACCGATTCAGAACAGCACTCGGAACAGATATCGTAGAAAATTCAAATTATAAATTCCCTATCCTTAAACTCAAATTTAAAAAAATAATTTTGGCAACTTGTTAAAAAAAAGTGTTGTGTGCCTGCCTATAAAAGTGCTGCTGAAAACTTGAAAATCTCATAGAAATCAGTTTGATTCTGAAGCGAAACAAGAACAGACTTAGGTGAGTTTACAAGGGTGTTTTATATAAAAGAAATTTTAGCTAAGGAGATTCTTAGTTGTATATTTAAAAATCAGCTAGTTATTTTTTATTTTAAAATCAAAAATTTAACATTTTGTAAAAAATTGGGTTCTACCCATTTTTAAGTATTTCCTATAGATATTTCTTAGAAATTTAAAGATATTCAAGTATTTCCTACAAATATTTCTTTAAAGATCTAATAAAATCAACATTTTCTAGGACTCTGTGCACTAAATATATCGAGATTCAGGTATTTCCTATGAATATACCCTTCAAATATTAAAATTTTCAATTGTTTCCTAAAAATCTTCCTTAAAAATAAAGAGAGAAGTGTTACGTCCTTCTTTTAAATAAAAATTTTGGCTAAGGAGAATCTTAAAACTAAATGTAAATTTCAAAATCAGCTATATATTTATAATAATAATAGTAAAATCAATATTTTCTAGGTATCTGTGTTCTACACATACCAATATTCAAGTATTTCCTAAAGATATTTCCCAGACACTTCAAGATATTCAAGTATTTCCTACAAATGTTTCTTAAAATTTGTTTATTAATT